GATATTGCATATTAATGCAGAATTCTTTAGGAGATATATCTGCACATGTTCTATGCCCCAAAACTATGCTGACTTTTATAGATGACGATGCCACAGAAAAACTTAACGAATGGAGCAACTTGTGTAAACAGAGCAAACAGATATTTGAAGTATCGTATATTAAAAACATTAGAAAGGTTTTGAAAAATCTGAAGAGAGTACCTGATACATATCCAATTGGAGAAAATATTTTTAAGAAGCAAAAAGAAAGTGAGATCGATGAAAAGGATATTTACGATTTATATGAGAAAGCAGACTTAGATATGGGGTTATTAGACATTTGGATAAAGAGTAATGATAAGCAAATTATTCCAGAAACAATTGATCAAAGTATTTAATAGCTGCCACTGTTTTACTAAATAATGTTAGTTTGTGTTGTTATATTGTTGTGAACTAGCATCACAATACTTAGGTAATACTAGATGATGGTATATTTTTTTGATAACACCATCTTATTGTTTCTTTAAAGCAGTTAGTTACCCTCAATTAAGAAAAATAGTACTATTATTTGCCAATAGATGTCGGGAAGAGTTGATTATTGAAAACACGAATAAAACATTTTCTGAAAATAAATCGTAGCTAGATCAATTTATCGCCCCCGAAATCCCCTGTATACTAAATTTTATGAAAATCGTTGGAGCCGTTTCCGAGATTCAGATTACATATATATTAATATACAAGAATCGCTCGTTTAAAGGTATAATAAACATCTTATTTCATGTGCTGTGTTTAACTTATATTAACCAACTTTAAAAGTATTCATATATGAATACTTTTAAAGTAATAATATATATAAATATATATAGTAATAAACATGCTTACCTTAAGTTTTTTGTTCACCAGTTTTAATGTATATGAGTCGCATCAACCTATTTAACACTAGATTTACCAGACCAGTCATTTTGAGTGGTCGTGCAACTTCAATTCAAAATTACTACTACATTAAATATTTGCTTTTCAAATTGATGTTATAACTTTTGTAGGTATAAGTAGAGAATACATTTTATGAACTTAATTTTACTTTATATAATGTTAGTAACAAATATATTTTTTGTTATAACTTTTTATACCAGAACCAGTCAAAATGACTGGTGCATGTTTCTAGGAAGAAATGTATGATTTCGGGAGAATCATGAGACCGTGAAAATACAAATAGTGCCCATGCTTCTTTTGTTCATTACGTTATCGTTATCGAGCCGATTTAGGCGATTACGGTATCTATACGATTTTTTTACGAGTACTTAGTCCAAGCGATCTCCAAACGTAATCATTCATTTTTACCCATACAATGACACGTAATAAACATTTATGAGTATTTGAAAAATATACAAATATATGTTCTTCAGCAAGTAGCCTGCATATCGTTAGCCCCTAAAAATGTCAAAACGAAAATTTGTACAGAGCTAGAAGCCTCTCGAGTTTTGGGGAAAACCTGGACAATCATGCAAGAAAAATTGAAGGCATTTCTTGCAATATTGTACGCACGTACATACGGGCATACGAAGGAAATACTTTGAGACTTCAATATTTGTGGAATAAAAAATGGGGACCATCATTTTTTTCTAGCACTATGAGTAGACGAGATTTTACAGATATTTTACGATACATTCGGTTCGATAAAAGAAATCAGACGAGTCAACGTTTGCAAACAGACAAGTTCGCTTTAGTCTCAGCAGTTTGGGATAAATTTATTGAAAACAGTCAAAATTGCTTCAAACCGGGAGCTTCTATTACTGTGGATGAGCAACTTTTTCCAACGAAGGCCAGATGCAGATTTACTCAGTATATGCCAAACAAACCCCATAAATTTGGCATCAAATTTTGGTTAGCGTCTGATGTAGNATAATCGTCTCCTTCAAAGAATACGGTTCAAAACCTGCATTAAATAAAGGTTAATAGTTAACCTGTTATTTATCTAAGATGTCGTTCCGAAGAGTTTTGTGACTGCCAATGGAATACAAAGTCAATAATTCGTTTTTCTGATTTACCAATCATTGTCCAAAAGTCAGATTGCCGGCTTTGATAATAGTCGACTCATTTGCCAATAGATGTCGGGAATAGTTGATTATTGAAAACACGAATAAAACATTTTCTGAAAATAAATCGTAGCTAGATCGATTTATCGCCCCCGAAATCCCCTGTATACTAAATTTTATGAAAATCGTTGGAGCCGTTTGCGAGATTCAGATTACATATATATTAATATACAAGAATCGCTCGTTTAAAGGTATAATAAACATCTTATTTCATGTGCTGTGTTTAACTTATATTAACCAACTTTAAAAGTATTCATATATAGTAATAAACATGCTTACCTTAAGTTTTTTGTTCACCAGTTTTAATGTATATGAGTCGCATCAACCTATTTAAACAGAGGAAAACTATTATATACTACAGTCTAAAATTTAAAACTTTGAATAACAATAAATAGTATTGTTATTTTACATTTTAAATTGTGAAGCTGAATATATAATTATTTATCTATTACTTATGTTGGTTAAGGAGTAAGAATGGCTACGTTAATGTTAAGTAGTAACCAAAACCTGTACAATATACAACATGAATACTGCTATCCAATTTGAGGCATCGGAAGCCATCAACGCTATAATGGTAGCCACCAATGGTACCCATGCTTGCAGGCGTTACAGTACAGACTACTACCAGAAATAATGTTTTCTAATTTTATTTTATTCATTTATCGTGGTTGTCGTTCGTGAACAAGTTAAAAATTAGTATTATTGTAACTGTATAAGTGTTTACGCGTCAACTCCTCTTTCGCAAAGTCGGGAAAGACGCAGGCAGCGCGGGGAGGGAGGGGGCGGCGGAACGGTGCGAGCCTGAACGGGACTGAACAGCTACAAGACGCGCAATATTATGTACAATATTACTTTCACATTAAAACCCAAAAATAATTTAATAGTTTTTCGTAATTTAACGGCAGAAGTCACAAACCACCTAAAAATTCACAAAGGAGATACAGTCTGAAATTCACAATCAGGAACAATAAGTTAAATAATAATTATAAGTGAAAATGTGGTTTGGATTTTTCAATTGAGCATATTAATTTTAAATCTGTCTGCGGAGGGACTTCGGGTCCCTCTGTATTTTATACCGCATGTTCCATGGGGAGTGCTCTGAGGAATTGTTTGAGATGACACCAACGTCTCGTTTTTACCATCGCACCGCCCGCCACCGGAGTAGAGTTCATCTATACTACCTGGAGCCACTGCGGTCATCCACAGTGCGTTTCCAGAGGTCTTTTTTGCCACGTACCATCCGGCTATGGAATGAGCTCCCCTCCACGGTGTTTTCCGAACGCTATGACATGTCCTTCTTCAAACGAGGCTTGTGGAGAGTATTAAGCAGTAGGCAGCGGCTTGGCTCTGCTCCTGGCATTGCTGAAGTCCATGGGCGACGGTAACCACTTGCCATCAGGTGGGCCGTATGCTCGTCTGCCTACAAAGGCAATAAAATAATAATAATAATAATAATGGAATTTTAAATAAACCAGATATATTTATAATACCTAGTAGTTTACAGTATTTTAATTTGAATCTCTTTGGTTGATCTCTCTTAATTGTCCTCTTGTCTCTCGCTCATCGGCATTCGACAACAAAAATTTTAGAAATAAAACAACATATTGAATTATTAACAACTATTATTGCCTACCTATGACTGCTGCAATCGCGCTAATGCATTCATTAAACTTAAAATCATTCACACAATTGTACATACACATTTTCAAAACAACAAATGCATGCTGCATGTAGTTCTAAACTTTTGTTTTACAAAATCGCTATCAACAGAGTACAACCAACGCCTCTTGTGGTTAGTTGCCTGATTACCAAACTACAGTATGTAGGTTCGAATCCCAGTCGTCATATGTGAGTAGTCAGTAAGCATAACATTAGATAAAAATTTTGGGATTCTCGATTATGCAAAAAATTTTTGTTCATTAGATTTCTTTGCTACATCTGTGCGTTGAAATATAATTATTAAAGTCCATTTAACATAATATATTTTATACCAATTATGAGAAACAAGAGTTAAAAACTACACTAACAAAAACACAAAGGCTTAGTATGAATAACAATAACAATATCTGTAAATTGGTACAGTAAAATGAATTTTGGTATAAATACAAACAAATAATACATCGAAAAATACAATAGACAAATGTGATGAACAGTTACTGTTAAGTCTAGTTTATACTACGTGTTAGAGGGTCACAATACCATGAAACACTCATATTGGCACTATTGATGTGACACAAGTTGTAAAAATAAACACTAAAATTTGAACACTTTCATAAATCTATACACATTATGGCAAATTCAAAAAAATTGCGGCATGTTCTGCTGCAGAAGGAAAGGCAGATATAGATATCACAAAAACAAAAGTTTATTCCACTCTTTTAAAAAAGATTCCGATATTAGTCGCCCAAATTGCCATTGCTAGCGTTATTAAAGAAAAAGAGAATATCGACAACTCAAGAAACATTACGAAGTATCTAGTACTTTAATTTAATTTGAAATATTGAATTCAATCACTTCCTGTTTTTTTGTACACATTTAATCCTCTATCTCATTAGGATATACAAATTTATATTCATTAAACTTGAGTAAAAATAACATTTTATTAAAAAATTTAGTGCATGCAGCGTTCATAACATTTAGGCGATATTATAGGGTTATTGACCTCAATCAGCTGCGTTATGAATACGGTACGTTGCGCTCAGCTGTCTTCGCTTGAGGTTGAGGGTTCTGTAGTGTGAACATCGTAAACGATAAACAGCTAACATCAGCTTAGCAAGATAATCAATCATCAAAAAAGAGGGCACAAACGTGATAAATAATTATTTTTACATGTTTTTACAAGTTTTCAATGTTTTATTACATATGATTATTACAATTTTATTATAATTTATTATAATATGTCGACTGCTCAATTGCTAAAAAATATATTCAGAAAATCTTATTATTATTATTTTAAAATTCATTTTACTGTACCAATTGACATAACGAAAATAATGTAATCACGCCTTTTGAGATAATAACATCATTTTAAAGCTTAACTCTCTCCAGGAGCTCTGCAATAAGTTATTGAAATTAAACTGCATCGGCTACTGAAACAAACAAAATGAAAACTTTAATTTTAAAGTGAATCTTGTTTTTTAATATGTACATACACTTTCAGTGAATTCGTTCGACACAATATAAAAAAATCAGTGTGTCAATATGCTATAACATATTACAATGATCAATCAGACACAGCCCACTGAGTTTCTCGCCGGATCTTCTCAGTGGGTCGCGTTTCCGATCCGGTGGTAGATTCTGCGAAGCACTGCTCTTGCTAGGGCCAGTGTTAGCATCACTTCCGGTTTGAGCCCCGTGAGCTCACCTACATGTTCGGTGAATCTAGTATGACCCATCGAAGTCATTAGAAAAACATGGGTTCATAGATATCATCTCCATTTACTGAGTTTGTTGTGTTGATTTACTGAATGACACAAAAGAACAGCCATTGATTTCGAGTGGTCATTTTGAAAACAGTTTAAACCGAATCTCACAGCTTAACAGCTCCTTAGTTTAAACTCCGACAGAGTTGAAGTATGATTGTAATCGGAAGTTAAGCGTCAGTGACAGCTTAAGCCTTTGATTTTGTACATATTGACCTTTGGTCTTTCACAGGTGGTAGGACCTCTTGTGAGTCCGCATGGGTAGGCACCACCACCCCGCCTATTTCCGCCGTGAAGCAGTAATGCGTTTCGGTTCGAAGGGTGGGGTAGCCGTTGTAACTATACTGAGATCTTAGAACTTATATCTCGAGGTGGGTGGCGCATTTACGTTGTAGATGTCTATGGGCTCCAGTAACCACTTAACACCAGGTGGGCTGTGAGCTAGTCCACCAAACTAAGCAATAAAAAAAAAACTTCCGTTTGTAACCATTCGGCTATGGCTAAGAATACGAATTGAAAAGTAGAGCTCACCGAAGTCTCGAAGCGCGTCGGCTAGCGCCTGGTGAAGGTCCGCAGCCAGCTCCTGGTGAGCGTGTTGTCCTGCTTGGGAGCCTTCTCCCGCTCCTCGAGCTGCTCCATGAGGCGGCGCTGGTTGTCCCGGAAGGCTGCGATGGGGTCCTCGAACTGTCCGTAGTAGGACAGCACCTCGCGCACGTCCGCCACCTCCGACATCGCTATCGCTGCAATGGGAATACTTAGGACTCAAAAAAAAAATTTTTTTTTTTCCTATCTATGCTGATAGCCTTGAGAGGCTATTTCAGCTTCACCCTAACGTGTGTAGGTGAGCTCACGGGACTCAAATCGGAAATGTTGCTAACACTGGCCCTAGCAAGAGCAGTGCTTCGCAGAATCTACCACCGGATCGGAAACGCGACCCACTGAGAAGATCCGGGGAGAAACTCAGTGGGCTATTGTTTGTACCTTATTAATTTTCTTTATTTGGCACATTATCATTGCCCAGCAGTTGGTGCTTGATTGCCTTATGGTTAGCTCTAAGCACATTGAAAGGTCCATTATAATAAATCAGCAGTGCTGTAAATCAGCACCTCGCAGGCGGTACTCACTCTGCAGCAGATTGGCCAGGTCGAGCAGCGACGTGTCTTCATCAGCTCCCTTCCACTTCTTCAGGATCAGCGAGTTCTGCGGGTGGAACTTGGTCGCTGCCTTGTTCCAATCGACCACGATAACCTGGAACGAGACCCACTCGCATTAAAACTGTATAATCTCAACCCTTACTAATTTTACCGGAGATTGTTTTAAAGGTTTTTTAACATGGAATACTTTTAATATTAATCATCTTTGCAAAATTTTTTTTTTTTACTAATTACATCATCTGTCTTTTAAAGTAAGATAAAATTATGTATTAATTTTGTTAATAGTAGTCAAAACATAGGTAAACTAAATACGCTCTTTTGACAGTATCTACGAGAAAAATACTGGTAATACCAAATGATTCCGTATATTAACTCAATTTCGAATATTTTTGGAAATTGTACACTTTTAATGCGAAAAGACGAATTATGTGGCTTTTTAATTACGAGAACTACATTCTTTTAAATGACATAATATGACACTGCCCTATATGAATATATCATGCAGTATCATAAATGTTTATTCGAGCATATACACATGACTGACGCCAGCGGCTGTGAGACATGAGGTCGGAGTGTCCGTGTAATGTTGTACTTTGGGAGGTGTTTAAGGAAAACGTCTTCTTGCGTGTGTTCCATGTTTAATTATCATCTTAATCCTAGTTTACAATTATGAAGAAGCCTATGTTTCTGGGTGGTCCGCCTTATTAGGGGGACATACGAGATTACACCTATTAACTATGTTAATATATATACTAAATACTATGCTATGCTATGCTATAATATATAAGTACTAGCGGCCCGCTCCGGCTCCGCTCGGTTCTTTAACAAAAATTTCAACGACGTTGTTTTATTTTTTTAAATAAAAGAACACTTTTTACGGCATAACTATAATGGTTAGACATATGCTTTTGCAACATTTTTTGTAAATAATAATGTGTTCTACAAAGTCTTAGTACACTTTTTTATTCTATCATTAATAGTTTTAGCAGGGCACGTGATGCAAAGAATATTTTAGGTAATATTTTTACAACTTGGGTTACATTATTGGAGTTTTAGTAAGGATCCCTAATTTTTTTTCAAAAGAGATTACGATCTATGCCAATGTCACTCGGGAACAGTGTAGTTTCGGAGCCTATTCAATACAAACAAACAAATCTTTCCTCTTTATAATATTAGTATTCTTACTGGTGGTAGGTCCTTTTGTGAGTCCGCGCGGGTAGGTACCACCACCCTGCCTATTTCTGCCGTGAAGCAGTAATGCGTTTCGGTTTGAAGGGCGGGGCAGCCGTTGTAACTATACTGAGACCTTAGAACTTATATCTCAAAGGTGGGTGGCGCATTTACGTTGAGGATGTCTATGGGCTCCAGTAACCACTTAACACCAGGTGGGCTGTGAGCTCGTCCATCTAAGCAATAAAAAAAAAATAAAAAAAAGATATACGCTTCATCCGCGGTGCCGCACCGCAGCTGCCCTACCCTTTAAACTAATGAGTGCACTGTAGCAGACAGGCGGACTTACGATACGCCAATAATAATACCACTGAGTACAACATTTTGATTTAACTTTTCTTTTCAGCACAGAGGTCATTCGGTAACACGCGTCGAGTACGTATTCCTTTAACGTTTCTAACATGAGTATCGATCGCTCACCTTCGACAAGTCCCTGTTGAGTCCCTCGAGGTTCTTAACGTGCACGCCGTCGACGAAGTGCGTGGAGTCGCGGAACAGGCGGTGCGTTATGTACTTGTTCTCGGGGTCTAGTTTGTCCAACACCGGCCAGATCATCATAGCGTTCTCCGTCGTGAAGATGACGATTTCGTAATTAGAGCTCGCGACCGCCTGGAGGAACTGGTCCACGCCGGGGCGCTTCTTGAACCTGTTCCAAGTATCCAACTGTTATTATTTAAGCGGAAGGAAGACAACCGGACCCGGGGGTCTACCCGCGTACGAGCTAATTACATAATGAAACCGAACCATTCTTATTTCTACATCACCACGAAGCTCTACAAAGCTCAGTCAAAACCAACTTCATTGTGTATGAGTTTACTTGGAAACAAAATTAACTACGAATTAATCATAGATCATATAATTTGGTGACCATTCACCATAAGATGCACTTTAAACTCAACCTCCGTGGATCATAAAGTGAGTCGACTATTATCAAAGCCGGCAATGTGACTTTTGGACAATTATTGGTAAATCAGAAAAACGAATTATTGACTTTGTATTCCATTGGCAGTCACAAAACTCTTCTGAACGACATCTTAGATAAATAACAGGTTAAGTATTAACCTTTATTTAATGCAGGTTTTGAACCGTATTCTTTGAAGGAGACGATTATATTCAAATCAATCTGTATTGACATATCAAAAACATTTTTTTGTCCAAATACACAGATTGCCACTTTTGATAATAGACGACTCAAGTAACCTATTTGTGTGATTGGATCATCAACAATACTGCTGCCAAAAAAAGGCCATCATCGACCACAAAATACGAGGTCAACATCTCAATTGTCTGTCCTCAAACCGGACCGCGTGATTGCTTCGCTGTAGGAATAGGCAGCAGAGTCGTAGCCGTGGTGGCAAATGTCGGTCTGTTGGCTCAGTGCGGCGCAGTAGCACTCAGAAAACGTTGCCGTCCATTCTCCTTGGAATCTTCACTTCTTTTGACACCCACGAGAACAGAGAGTGAGGTGCTGCTCTAGGCCAACACCAAAATAATTTTGGTAAATAATGTATTCTTTACCAAAATTAATGATTAAAGAATAATTTTAAATAAATTAAGACCCCCTTTAATTAATTCTTAAAGTATTGTTGTTGTCCATGCCATGTTCATGCCAGGGATAGTACTGACCTCCAGCCCGTTTGATAAGACCAATCAGGATGAACCAGGACATCGGTGAATTCTAAGACTAGAGTGTATGTAGGCTGGTACGGTGGAGGCAAAGGGTCTGGAAGTAGTTTCTCTCTTGACGGCTCCTTTATCATCTATAATAACAAAATATTCTGTTTCTATGAGTTTTACAATATCTCCAATCCAATATTCCAGAGAATGTGACAATATAAAATCTAAGCCTCAAAAAAAAGAACAATAGTAGCCTCTTCGGAGATTCCAATTAAAACTGCATAATATGATCTGTGATAAGATATTAGGCAAATAATTTTGCAGTAAAGACGTTTTTGATAGAAGAATTTTATAATGTTCTGGTGTTATTTTAATTATCATCATTTTAATATTTGACTATCAATTGTGTCAAATTAAGTGCTCAAATTAAATGCAGATAATGCATAAATAAAATTATTTTTATTACCTTTTCATAAAATGTGAGTTCTTTCCAGGAACGTCTCAGGTATTGAAAGACAATGGGAAGATGTGAAAATTCATCCTCTATTATTTGACCCTCGTCATCCCGTCGGGGTGAGCCCATCTCTATGACAAGGCAGGTCGCTGCTACTGTGAGACCACCACCAAAAACTGCAAAACTAAACAATTAACATTATTTTTATTTTATTCTGTTTCACTTTAAATTCCAAAGTTGATTGGAAGCTTTGTTTTTATTTATGTATAGGAAATATATACAGAGGGGTAAAAGGTTATTTGGTCTAAGCGACATGATGCTTAATACGCGACCTTTATCTTTGTAATTAAAGGTACATTTTATTTGGTATTAGCATTAACAGTTCAATGTTAATTAAGTTTACTCCATTTAAATAGCTGAAGAAGGTTTTTTGTCATATTTTTTCCAAGTTTTAAACTTTACATGGCTCTCCTGTAAAGTTACAAAAATGTTGCTTAAATCTAATAACATTTCCCCCCTCTATATGTACTCTTATTGATACTTACATACATACAGAGGACAGACTAAGAGGTACATTTCCGAGTCAAAGAGCATGTTGCAAGTGCAAAAATAATCAGTCAATGGCATTGAAATAACTTTCATTGAGACTATGTTTAGTACCTATAGACTATATCGAGAGGCCATAGTTGATGCATATCTAGCTCCTCTTATTGTGAAGATGAAAATTAAAGTCAGTTAAATATCAGATCTCAAGATACCTTTCTATACTATTCTAATTTCTTTGTCCTAAAAAACATTAAATGTTTTTATAAATAGTTAGACGGTAGGTATGTTTGTATGTATTAGTGAAATGTTAATAAATAACACCTAATAATACACCACATAAATATAAAACACCCTTCATTTTTCATTATAAAATATATCTAAAGAGGTGGTTGAAAATTAAGAAATAATAAAATAAGAGATAAACTGCATCAGATTCAAGTGGTTCCAATAAGTTTAGGAGCTTGTGAAGAATTTGGTGTTAACTACATTACCCTAATTTCATTCTTCTCCAACTTTTTTCATTTTCTTCAGTTTTCTCTTTGTTTTCTTGTTCAAAACGTTCTTGTTCTTTTTTAATCTGCTGTGCATCAACCTGTGTCTGTGGGGCTTGCGGGAAGAACCTCCCTAAGATATCTACTTTTTCAGGTTTATCATCTTTACTTCTATCATCTGTAAATTTGTATTAACAATAAGAAAGTATTTTATTTATCAAAGTTATATTATTACTTATTTATTTTCAAAGTACATATTATAAGTCAATGTAGAAATCTATTTGTTTTATAGGTGAGAGAAGCTGAATAAATATAAAACTGATTTTGACAAACATGTAATGCTTTTGTAAATAGCTAAAAAAACATTTTCTACACTGATTTGACTTGTGTAGTATTGTCAACAAAGCTATGATGTTAGTGGGTTCAATTTAATAATGACGTAAAATTGTTCATCCAACATATTTGTTTATTGTAAATACATGAAAAAATCAATGTAATAAAAAGTCGTACAGAATTTATGAACTATGGGAAATGAAAACTAACCTAAATTTTGATTTGAATAAAATTTTGGCGAATTCGCTGCTATTATCCAAATGTTTTGTCTTGAGTGGCATTTTGTCTCTACCTTTAAAGATTTACAACACGCGGTTTTTGTCAGAAATAATAATTTCCTGAAATACATTTCAATGTAATAAAAAAATCCGCATTGAGAAACTTCACTAACACACAACCGAGCAAATAAAACTAAACAGTAGATTAGTGTATAATCTATGAAGCAGATCACATCACACTACTCAAGCAGACTTTTTGGCGGGAACGCGAGGAGTGAAGTTGTGTGATTTGTTTTATTTTGACTATTTAGTGTTTCTTCGGGTTTAAATGTGTAATAATGGTGGTTTATTAACTGTTTAATATCTGTGAAAGGGCACAAATGTGGGAAAATGAAACAAAGCCGCTGGACGTAACTTCTCGGGATCCTCCAAAAAGTCTTTGGTAGGCAGCGGCTTGGCTCTGCCCCTGGCATTGCTGAAGTCCATGGGCGACGGTAACCACTCACCATCAGGTGGGCCGTATGCTCGTCTGCCTACAAGGGCAATAAAAAAAAAAAAAAAGTCCACTGAAAAAATCTCAATAAATGACCACCATTTTACTGAGATTATATTTCATCTCATATCATCTCATTTATTTCATCCCAGTTGATTTATGTCTCAAATTAATCATCTTCATTTCATTTCACACTATAATATCATTTTTCATAAAAATATGAGTATACATTAAAATAAGACATGACTTAAAAGTCTCAGTTACCAGGTCATCAAATCCCTTAAAAAAAAAACATTACTCAAGGACTTTTTGGCGGGTACGCGAGGAGTGAAGTTGTGTGATTTGTTTTATTTTGTCTATTTAGTGTTTCTTCAGGTTTAAACGTGTAATAACGTTGGTTTATTAACTATTTTATATCTGTAAAAGTGCACAAATGTGGGAAAATGAAACAAAGCCGCTGGACGTAACTTCTCGGGATCCTCCAAAAACTCCACTGAAAAAAATCTCAGTAAATGACCACCATTTTGCTGAGATTATACTTCATCCCATATCATTTTATCTCATGTCATTTCATTTCAAAATATCATTTTCATACAAAAAAGTTACGTATCATTAAAATTAAAATAAGACTTGACCTAAAAGTCTTAGTTACCAGGTCATAAAATCCCCTAAAAAAAAACATTACTCAAAGAGACTTTTTGGCGGGAACGCGAGGAGTGAAGTTGTGTGATTTGTTTTATTTTGTCTATTTAGTGTTTCTTGAGGTTTAAATGTGTAATAACGGTGGCTTATTAGGTGTTTAATATCTGTGAAAGTGCAGAAATGTGGGAAAATGAAACAAAGCCGCTGGACGTAGCTTCTCGGGATCCTCCAAAAAGTCCACTGAAAAAAAAAATGTGAGCCGTCACGGGACGCCTGGCAGATGTGAAACATCGACATTATGTTGTAAAAGTAATATGCAGAAAAGAACAGATTGTGATAGGAACTAAATATGTCATAATGATAAAATAAAATATTACGAAAAAACAATTTTTTTCAAGTAAAACACAGGTTATGTGTAATGTAGTAAACAACACTGTATACACTACGGAGTATACACTATAGGTATCCGAGCTCAGTGTAGCGAGAGAGATGGCTTAAGCTTAACGCTTAACGGCGACGTGTTGCCACACTGTACACACTACTGCATATAGACTGTATATATATATCATCATATAGCGTGGCGACGCGTCGCTACGGCATGCGTCGCCACGTCAGCAATCGGTTTTACGTGCGGCTATAGATGTTTCACAACAAAAATCTCAGTAAATTACCACCATTTTAATCATCTCATCTCATTTCATTTAATTTCATCCCAGTTGATTAACGTCTCAAATTAATCATCTTCATTCCATTTCATATTATTATCATTTTTCATAAAAATAAGAATATAAATTAAAATAAGACATGACTTGGCTTTGAGCTCGTCCACCCATCTAAGCAATAAAAAAAAAAAACTTAAAGGTCTTAGTTACCAGGTCATAAAATTCTTAAAAAAAAAAACTACTTTGCAATTTGCAGTTTGCACGATCTAATGTTTATTTTAGGTAAACCCAAGAAGTTTAGATAGTTTTGAATATTATTCGTTTTGCTCACTACAAATATATGCTTTAAGTGAAATACAAATTTAAAAATGACTCCTGAGAAGATTAAATCTGACATAAGTAATAGATTTAAGTTAAAAAACTTTATTCTGAAGAGTGACACAGGAACTCTCGATAATAAAACCAGGTAGAAAATTCGTTTTCGCATGACTAGCTAGTTTGTTGTTTTCTCCTTCATAAGGCTTAAATAGTAGTAAAAAGTAAAGTACACGACGATTATGTATACGACTATTACAACAACTTTACGGACGGTAGAAGAGGAAGTAGTAGTTGCCATAGGTAGCCGTCAGACATGGCATACCTTCTTCTTCTTCTTTATTTTTTGACTCTGGCACGGTTAGTGCATTAGCTAGCGTCAAGTAATAAAATTGTATTAATTCGCCGTCTTAATCACTTACAGTTTATGAATAATAATAAACCAAGGAAACTTAATCAATTGGCATGAAATTAAATAAAATGAGATGAGATGATATGGGATGAAATATAATCTCAGTAAAATGGTTGTCATTTACTCAGGCTTTTTCAGTGGAATTTATGGAGGATCCCAAGAAGTTACGTTCAGCAGTTTTGTTTCATTTTCCCACATTTGTGCACTTTCGCAGATACTAAACAGTTAATAAACCACAGTTATCTAACATTTAAACCTGAAGAAACACTAAATAGACAAAATAAAACAAATCACACAACTTCACTCCTCGCGCTCCCATCACAAAGTCCCATGGAATACCTATACATTTGTTTACAGCCAGACTAATCTGCTCGAATAGCCCTTGAATGTCGCAATAACGATATTAAATTTAAAAATGAATATGTAGGATATTTCGTCGTATAATGTTTCTGTGAGGAACCTTTGCCTATTTAGGATTATTCATAGGAAGATAGATTAGTTATACAGCTCTGAAGTACGGCACTAGTGTCCTAAATTATTCAAACTGAATAATGTTGTGTTAATTTAGAAATTAATTCATTATTCAGTTTAAGTAATCAAAATCAAATTGTGTAGTAGACTACACGATTTGATTTTGATTTCTTCTTCTTCTTCTTTGTTGTTTCGTCATTACTGAGGGTCGTGACCACCTTGGTCCAGTTTTTGCACCAGCTTCCTCCAATGTTGCCTGCATTCGGCCTACTTAATGACACCCCTTAATGCTTAATGCTTAATTTTGATTTGATCACTACCAAATTCAACAAAATCACCTGAAACATCCTGAAAGGTTCAGCTGTTTTTTTTGTTTTTTCTATTGCCCTTGTCGGCAGACGAGCATACGGCCCACCTGATGGTGAGTGGTTACCGTCGCCCATGGACTTCAGCAATGCCAGGGGCAGAGCCAAGCCGCTGCTTACCACAACCACCTACCGCTGTTTTGAAGTCAAAAGGGAAATGCACACAATGACTTTAATTTAATTTAGATGGAATTCGTTCATGTTGAAAATCTCTGTGAAAGTCTACATTTCTTTCCAAAAGTTAGTACATACATATCGATGGGTGAAAAGCTACATCCTTTAAGTGTCATTTCGCTTAATATGAGATGTTTATTTTTTAAATTCAAGTTGCGTTTTATTTGGTATTACAGTTTGATATTTTAATAGAATTTGAATTAAGTTTACTCCATTCAAATAGGTGAAGAAGTTTTTTGTGATGATATATTTCCAAATTTTAAACTTTAAGTGGCTCTTGTGTAAAGTTGCAAAAATGTTGCTTAAACCAAATAGACGATATGAGATATAAACATAGTACGTGCATATGAGATATAAGATCTGGCGTAGTTTTTTTATATTTTTTTTATTGCCTTTGTAGGCAGATGAGCATACGGCCCACCTGATGGTGGTTACCGTCGCCCATGGACTTCAGCAATACCAGGGGCAGAGCCAAGCCGCTGCAGGGTCCGAAATCAGTATACCATGTACTATTTATTATTTTAGGAAAAAAATAAAAAAATAGTTGTTTTATTGCAGTAAAACGAACAACAACAAAACAAAAAAGAAATTTTCTTATATAGATCCAAAAACAGCAAACAAAACATGTGAGTATATTTTTACTACACTTTAATTTATGGCACTCATTGAAAAATCTTGGAAAGTTGAACAATAACTAGTAGCTGGCTATAAGTAAAATGTGGCAAATAAAAGAAAAGCAGTGGCCATAGAGAGAGTATTGTGAATTTTTTTTATGCCTCTTTATATTAAATATAATGGGAAAGCAATTTGTAGCTGCCCTCCATGTTGCTTTGAACTTTGAACTGAAGTGCTATGTATGAAAATTTTATATTGTTACATAAATACTAGACAGATACCAGGCATCACCCATTTCAAATTATTATACAGANTGGCAAATAAAAGAAAAGCAGTGGCCATAGAGAGAGTATTGTGAATTTTTTTTATGCCTCTTTATATTAAATATAATGGGAAAGCAATTTGTAGCTGCCCTCCATGTTGCTTTGAACTTTGAACTGAAGTGCTATGTATGAAAATTTTATATTGTTACATAAATACTAGACAGATACCAGGCATCACCCATTTCAAATTATTATACAGAAGAAATGAAACACATTGCATTTTCTCAGGATAGAGTTGTTTGTGTCACTCTGATCTATGAACTAGGTACCTACGAGAATTGGAAATATGTTGGTTTGTAAAATTATGACCCCTGAAAATACAGTGTAAAATTTATTACTTTAGGTATTATTATTACATGGGTCGTGACATGAGAAAATGATTTCTAAGTTAATACAGGCTATGTATTATCTTATCGGTATATGTTCTGTATTTTTTTTTTTGATTCTGAAGCAAACATCCAAGCAATCAAACCTTCACATTTAAATTATTAGTATATGTGGTTAATGTTAAAGTATAGTTATACACATCAAGATGTATAAGGTATTGCAATAAGATATTTTAAGCGCGGGAACACTTAGCTCCTCCCTTTTTTTAATCAGGAGGAAATCGCCTGAATTTCGCTCACAACTGTGGACGAGAGGCGGGGCCTATGAGAATAGAACCAACTAAAACCGCCCATCGCTCAACAACGCGTGTCCGAGCCTCAGATAAGATAGGATTCAAACGTGTTATTCAGCGTCCCGACCACGACGTGTGGACAATGTTAGCAATATATATCTAAAAAGATTGTAGATTTAAAAATTAATCAAAGTAATGTCACAATAATTTTACATTTCATGATTCTAGGGACACCACCATTCAAGACATTGGAGATTGTCAGTTCAGTTAAAGTGAGTAGAAATTAAAAGTATTTAATAAAATATAACTTCACATTTTATCTTATCTTATCCTAATAAAATATAACGCTTGCATAGACAAGCAGTCTATACAACTTCATGGCTGAGCCCTCAAGTTCGCTCATCCGTCCCAGCTAAGGTCTCTGGGCCAACCGCGATATGTCCACCCGAAAAAACAATTCTTAGATCCTCACCTGGACTTTTGGATGGTCATCAGTAATTATCGGTCATGGAAATCAGCAAGGTTTGGGAATTATCTGCAATGATTTTGTGTAGATATTCTGTTATATAGGAAGTCATTTGTATTCGAGTTTTTACTATATGAGTATACAATAGGACGGAATAAACATATTAACATTAAATACTGCATATTATATAGAATTTAAGAAAAGAAAGATTTACTGGTTGTAGGAAGTCTTGTGAGTCCGTACGGGTAAGTACCACGGCTCTGCCTATTTCTGCCGTGAAGCAGTAATGCGTTTCAGTTTAAAGGGTGAGCAGCCGTTGTACTGTATTGAGTCCTTAGAACTCATATCTCAAGGTAGTCGTGCCTTTTACGTTGTAGATGTCTATGGGCTCCCGTAACCATTTAACAGCTGATGTGCTGTGAGCTTGTCCACCTATCTAAATAATAAAAAAAAAAGATAATATCATAATTTTTAGGACGAAAACTCTCCGAAAATTCCAGAAATATACGAAACCGGAGTCAATAGTCCTGAAAGAAGTATAGCGGTTGACATACCAACCCCACCTAAGAACGTAGACATGGACAGCTCGAGTAAAAGGAGCCGTTTGGCTATGTCTGATGACCTTAATGATGTAGATTTAAGAATGAATGCCTCATTTGTACCCTTACTAGATCGAATAACAGCACATGTTGCTGTAAAGGAAACGAATCAGGTGAGAGATACAGTTAATGTTACACGTAGTAATGTTACACGCTGGGGTTCGGGATAAATAGAAATTCTACCGAATTACAAGCTAACATTGTATTCAGCACTTAGAACACTTTAAACACTTCACAATCACTTTAAAACTCAATTCGCCTCTTCCGCTTCGCTTCAGGTGATCCGTTCGCTGTTTCGCTTCGAGTAGTTTCGATTACTAACCGACTGCCATCTCTGCAACGCTTTTATAACCGATATCACATCCCTAGAATTATTGAGAATATTCCACATATTTCTAGTATTGTGTTTCCACTATCTGACAATAGATGGCATTGTACTTACCGGCGTAACAGTAATATTAATCGACAATTTGGATTTTAAACAAAATGACTAACGTACAAATTCAATAACCTCATTTTGATACAATCTTTTTTGCAGATAAACATTTTCAGATTATGATAATTTAAAAATTTTGCATCATGTTAATGCAATTTTTATTGCTGGTTTTTAAAGTTTTAAGGTCATTTATTTTATCTCATAAATGCTTCATTGACGGACAATTCCAAATTATCATCTTTAGCCCTCAGCAAGACTTAGTCATTTCTTTCCATCGGGCGTCATTGACTTGATATTATTATAATAATTAAAATCTGAGATAAACAAGATATATATCTTTATTATTTCACAGTAATGTTTAGTGATAACATGCATTTATATAATTTATTTATAGATAGTAAAGTTCAATTAAGATTATCTTTCAGTTGTAAAGTAAAATTATTTTTTTATTGTCTTTGAAGGTTGTAAGGGCCACCTGATGATTAGAGATCACGGTTACCCATGGACGCTAACAGTGACGGCCTCCTAAGATTCCTTTGAAATCTGATTTGAAAAAGGAATTTAGTCGAACTCAGGACATGCTGTTAGGGACATTCAACCAAAGCAGGACATAGACACAGCCCACTGAGTTTCTCGCCGGATCTTCTCAGTGGGTCTCAGTGGGCGGTAGAATCTGCGAAGAACTACTCTTGCTGGGGTTCGTGTTAGCAACATCGTCATGTTTGAACCCCGTGCTCACCTATTAGCCCGGTGACGCAGGCATGGTCTCCTTAGAGCATCAGCTTAGGTAGGGGAAAAAACCACACATACACACACAAAGCAGGATGGCACGTGGCAAAAGTGATCTCTGGAATCGTACTTGCCGCGCATCTAGATAGTAGGGGGTGAGTTCTGTCACCATGGCGGATGATCAGAGTCGCTCCGTACAAACTCAAACAGAGGTTCCAAATAATGCTGTGAGATCAGGAATATAGATTGCCTTCTTCTGTATAGAGGCAAATGGAAGAAATTGGTTCTTGAGAGCAGCGCGCGAGGCCAAACCTGCGCTTTATAAAGCAAAAAAAACGTGTCTAGGTGTGGAGTTTGTTCTAGGATGGCTGTTCCCCAACAAAGTAATCCTAGTAGGCAAAAAATTGTGTTTGGTCTATGTCGAGATTTTCAGGCGGATTGAAAGTTCATTCAGGGTCATAGTTGGTACGGCATTACGGATTTAGTATTTTGTGTTTCCACATTGCTTTTATATAAATACATCTTCGGAAAATTCAAGTCTTTCTATTGTGTGCCTTATAAAATCTAGTCTAGTCCCGATAATTTGCGACAAGAAAAAGACATAAGGTATCAACAGTACCCTTAGCAACCAACGATTGTTTTATGAATCTCATGAGAATATTTTTGCAGAAACAAAATCATCCCGAATTTCTGGATCGGCAAAGTGAGAGAATGTACGTCGAATTGTTAGAAACAATAAGTGATACGTTTGATAGAATTCCAAAGAATTTGCTAGAAATAATTCCTGGTTATGATAGTAAAATACACGACAAGATGAAACGGAGCAGAATAGAAATTAAAAAATATTGTAATAATTTTGAGAATAAATCTAGTTGCTCCATAGATAAATTACATCCAACAGAGAGGGATCATAGTCATAGTTTGATACAGAATTCAACCCCGCCTTTAGAACAAAACCCTGGGACCAGTAATATGATACATTCAGATGTTAAAAAAGTCACCACTTCAAATGAATCACCGTCTATTATGTCTGTAACCAATGATTCGACGATGGATAAAAGCTTAGATCAATCAGACACGAATGTCAAGAAGAAAGGCAAATTTGTATACAAATCCCCATTAAATCATAGTTCGCCGGATTGTAAAGCTTCGTCGAGTACAGCGGAGAGACTTAAAAGCATCATGGAGACTCTGAAGCGCGTCCCACCTAAGGTCGCGTCCAATCCAACGCCGCAAGCGAATAATAGTTCAGTAGAATTCCAGCCACCTCCGCTTGACCGAAGCGCGTTCTTGAACACGGAACGTCCGTCAACATCGGCGACACCCGCTTCTGTGACTGATGTCGCCGAAAATGAATACGAACACTTGTTTGACGCCAATGACGGCTTCGAAGAGAACATTGACCTGATTAGTGAAAATGACGTGAGCGTCGAAGAGCTTCAGAACGGTAAGAACATAAGCGTCGACGATGACGGATGGCCGGAGTACAGAATGGAGGACTTCGCGGACGACGTGGAAGTCGTTAATGCCGTCGAGATGGTGGAAATGAACTTGAACCATACGATGACGTCGAATGTCGTCAATACGAAGTACGAAGGGATCGGGCAATTCGAAGGTGATATCCAGAACGATGGAACCACAGGTCCGTGCCGCATGCCATTAAGTCTATAAGTTCCGATTTTTAGGATATATCCAAATCATGTTACACTCACACACACTCAACTTTAACACTAATTATACTATACTTACTGGTACCTTTTTCTATGATAGCGGGTAGATAACGATATACGACAAATGTTATACAAAATTATAATTATTGTAGATAAATTGGTAAGGAAAAGTCATTAAGTGAAATGTGTAAAAGCAATAAGATGATATGTGCATTTTCAATGCAAAAGTTCAAAATCGGTCATTTGACCCGTTACGTATGATTAGTGTTAAAAGGGATCATTGCATAATCACACTTGGAGAAGGCGGCATGAAACCCTCTTGTCGTGGCCGCCGGAAATTACATACCCGATCCTGTGGACCGAATGGTGAACAGTCGACGTCGCCCTAAACAAGTCATTACGGATCCTCAGGATCCATTAACGGTGCTTTTAGGTACCACCACAAGCATCGGTCACCGTCCTCGCCGAATCCGTCGCTTGTGACGAAGGGCTCGACGAGTAAATTAACCTATAGACACAGCCCACTGAGTTTCTCGCCGGATCTTCTCAGTGGGTCGCGTTTCCGATCCGGTGGTAGATTCTGCGAAGCACTAGTCTTGCTAGGGCCAGTGCTAGCAACATTTCGGGTTTGAGCCCCGAGAGCTCACCTACACGCTAGGGTGAAACTGAAATAGCCTCTCAAGGTTATCAGCATAGGTAGGAGAAAAAAAGCATAATCATGGAGGTCCACGCTGCTCTGTTTGCGGTGACCGTAGTGAGTTTCGCTCGTTTCAGGTGAGTTCGACGGCCTGAACTACCCTCACTCGGCTCCGATGCTGGAGATATTCCGCGAGACGTTCGGCCTGACGAAGTTCCGGCCCAACCAGCTGCAGGCCATCAACGCGGCGCTGCTCGGCCACGACTGCTTCGTCCTCATGCCGACCGGCGGCGGTAAGGGACCTCGCCACCTTCAGCCCACAACTTCTGAACAATACTGGTGGTAGGACATCTTGTGAGTCCGCACGGGTAGGTACCACCACCCCGCCTATTTCTGCCGTGAAGCAGTAATGCGTTTCGATTTGAAGGGTGGGGCAGCCGCTGTAACTAAACTGAGACCTTAGAACTTTTATCCCTAGGTGGGTGGCACATTTACGTTGTAGATGTCTATGGGCACCAGTAACCATTTAACACCAGGTGGGCTGTGAGCTCGTCCACCTATCGAAGCAATAAAAAAAAATAACATTCAGACCATTTTAAGAACAAGATCTTGCCTTTGTCGTTACGTGTCCGAAGATAACTCTAGCTACTTCTACTTTTCGACGGAGAATATCTCTCGACAACAATCCTTACACGTCACACAGACACTGTGCTACTGGCTTAAATAACATCGAGACCTGTCACTAGCCAAATTATATTATTCCATAACATGCTATTGCGTATTCTGTAAAGATATATAAGGGCATATCCATATATTTTTTTACAAAAATCGGGTGTTTTGTTTATCTTTTCTTGTAGTCTTGACCTCTTAGACTATATTCTTTTGTGATAACTGATGCTTTATAGAATTGAGACCGAGATTAGACTGATTATTGCCATTTACTACAATGATAATGGTCGAGTGTCGGCCAGATTTACGAGCTCTAGTTTCGTCTAGCGTTGAACGGCATTTGTTGTCCATAGACTTCACAATATATAAATACCACCTACCTTGAGATACGAAGTCAAGGTCGCAATTGTATAATGTCAAACCAGAACTCCGGTCAGCTTGCGGAGAAAATGGGTAGAATCTTGGTGCTTTTTTTTAATTTATTTTTTATTGCTTACATGGGTGGACGAGCTCACAGCCCACCTGGTGTTAAGTGGTCACTGGAGCCCATAGACATCTACGACGTAAATGCGCCACCCACCTTGAGATATCAGTTGTAAGATCTCAGTATAGTTACAACGGCTGCCTCGTCCTTCAAACCGAAATGCATTACGGCTTCACGGCAGAAATAGGCGGGGTCGTGGTACCTACCCGCGCGGACTCAAAAGAGGTCCTACCACCAGTAATTACGCAAATTATAATTTTGCGGGTTTGATTTTTATTACCCGATGTTATTCCTTCACCGTGGAAGTCAATCGTGAACAATTTTGAGTACGTATTTCATTAGAAAAATTGGTGGCCGCCTGGGACTCGAACACCGGTGCATCCATCGCTCAACACGAATGCACCGGACGTTTTTATCCTTTAGGCCACGAGACTTCATAAAATTACTCGCGCGGTCTTCTGACGCCCTACCAACAGTCATTTTGCGGACATAATTTTTATAACACAGGGTTATTCTCTGTAATTGTTCATAAAACAAATTCCTGAAGCATATTTTATTGTTGATTTTAGGTAAGTCGTTGTGTTACCAGCTGCCCGCTGTACTGTCGCCCGGCGTCACCATCGTCATATCGCCGTTGAAGTCCCTCATCATGGACCAGGTCCGGAAGCTGCAGACGCTCGGCGTGAGTTCTTTTTTTTTTTCATTAGCTGANCAGGGTTATTCTCTGTAATTGTTCATAAAACAAATTCCTGAAGCATATTTTATTGTTGATTTTAGGTAAGTCGTTGTGTTACCAGCTGCCCGCTGTACTGTCGCCCGGCGTCACCATCGTCATATCGCCGTTGAAGTCCCTCATCATGGACCAGGTCCGGAAGCTGCAGACGCTCGGCGTGAGTTCTTTTTTTTTTTCATTAGCTGACCCGGCAGACTTCGTAGTGTCTCAATCGATAAATAAAAGGCCTAAACTTTTGTGTAAAATAAACTTAAAACAAACAAAAGAAATCCGTCCGACGGGAAAAACAAAATAGTTATTTTTATTTGATTCCGAGCATTTTCAAATTTATCTACCTTTTTTAAACCTTCTCTGGACTTCAACAAATAATTCAAGACCAGAATTTGCCAAATCGGTGAAGCCGTTCTCGAGTTTTAGCGAGACTAATGAACAGCAATTTATTGTTATATATATAGATAGAAGATAGATTGCTTAGATGGGTGGACGAACTTACAGCCCACATAGTTGTTAAGTGGTTACTGAAGCCCATAGACATCTATGACGTAAATGCGCCACCTACCTTAAGATATAAGTTCTAAGGTCTCAAGTATAGTTACAACGGCTGCCCCACCCTTCAAACCGAAACGCATTACTGCTTCACGGCAGAAATAGGCAAGGCGGTGGTATCTACCGTGCGGGCTCACAAGAGGCCCTACCGCCAGTAAAAGTTCGAACACTTCCCGGGATAATCTTTGATAATGTTCATTGTTGGTGGCGGACTGTTTGGTTCAGAAGTCAATGGGACTGAGTCGTCAACCACGAGAGAACTACTTCCTTCACAAATCACGAAAACAAGGACATCATTTCATTGTAGTATATGGGTGACGCTGACGGTCCATTGGATGTGAAGTGGTTAGGTCCACAGAAATCACAACTGGAATGCCGTCATTAAACACCGGTCTGATTAGTTTCCGATAAAAACTGTTTTAGTCCAGGTAAAATGCAGAATACGATAGCTTAATTGATTTAATAAAGGTACGTAAATAATAAAGCCGGAAAATATTTCATTTGAATGTTTCAATGTGTGTGTCAGTGCCCGGCGTCCCCAATGCCGCTCCCGGTCGGTGGGGTTTTTCCTAACACTCACTATTCTGTGTATTAATTCATCTATTGCTGAAAATTGGATGAAAGTTTTCGATTATATCGCGTTCAGACAGCCCAACACCGCACACGCCGTCGGTCGTTCTCAGGTCCCGGCCGCCGACTTGTCCGGCAACACGTCGCTCGCAGAGACTGACGAGATCTACCACAAGCTGTCCATGAAGGAGCCGCCCATCAAGCTGCTGTACGTCACCCCCGAGAAGATCGTCGGCAGCGACCGGTTCCAGTCCGTCCTCGACTCGCTCGACGCCAGAGGGAAGTTCGCGAGGTGAGGGACCGTCCACTTTGAGAACGCGGCACGACATGAGAACCCTCTTGTCGTGGCCGCTGAAAACTGCATACCCGATCCTGTAGACCGAATGGTAAACCGTCGACGTCGTCCAAAGCACGTCATTACGGATCCTCCCGATTCATTAACGGTGCTTTTAGGTACCACAAGTGCCGGTCACCGAACCCGTCGCTTGCGACGAAGGGCTCGACGAGCGATTTAACCCATAGACACAGCCCACTGAGTTTCTCGCCGGATCTTCTCAGTGGGTCGCGTTTCCGATCCGGTGGTAGATTCTGCGAAGCACGGCTCTTGCTAGGGCCAGTGTTAGCAAACACTCCGGTATGAGCCCCGTGAGCTCACCTACACACGTTAGGGTGAGGCTATCCGGCCGCCCGGTGCCCCCCGCCCGCGGCCCCCGCCCGCGCCCCCCGCCCGCGGCCCCCACCGGACGGAGTGTCGTTTGTTTGAGGTTCGTGATAGACGAGGCGCACTGCGTGTCTCAGTGGGGGCACGAGTTCCGCCCCGACTACACGGCGCTGCGGCTGGTGCGCGCGCGCTGGCCCGCGCCCCGCGCCGTGCTGCTGACGGCCACGGCCACGCCGCGCGTGCGCCGCGACGTGCTGCTGCAGCTGCACGTGCAGCCCGCCGCCTGCCGCTGGTTCCTGTGCAGCTTCGACCGCCCCAACCTGCGCTACCGCTTCCACAAGAAACCGAAGAACATTAACCAGGAGATCGCCAAGCTCATAAAGAACGAATTTTTCGGGTGAGTCCTTCCAGACTTTCTACTGTCTCCAATAAGAACATTTAGTCATCGTCCCCACGTCTACAAGCGGAGGCGGATGTGGGTCCCGCTCACCGCGCAACATCGAATGAAACATTATTTCTTTGTAAAATGCAAATGCGACCCGAAAGACATTTACGTTCACAGACATGAAGTCCGATTTGTCGTGTTGTTTTAGACGCCACGACAATAGAAATAAAATTAATCAGTTGTGTATGTTTGGAACAAACTGGCAAGAACAACTCAATCGTGTGACCGCCGCGGTGGTCGACGGCAGACTGAGTTAGCTTGACGTTTGTCTACCTCTCCCGCCCTGCCGCTCACATACCTCAGCGCTAGTCGCTTCTGTGCACACTATAGCTAAAATGATTAATAGAGAAATGCAGTTTCTAAAAAATGGCGCCTTATCCTCATGTTCAAAACGCTCTATTTTAGGGAATCTGGCATAATATACTGCTTATCGTGCAAAGACTGCGAAGTGTTGGCGGGCGACCTCCGCAAGACGGGGGTGCAGGCCGCCCCCTACCACGCCAGGCTCGCGGACTCCAAGCGGCAGAGCGTGCAGTCGGCCTGGATCGCCGACAAGATTAAAGTGGTAACTTCCACATATCACTTCAATTACTATTTCCTGTGCGACGGCAATGGACCATTGTTCATTCAGTAATCATTGCGATGACTTTTATTGTAACGGACGACTGCGAAATGGGTAGGAGGGAGGGCTCCCCCTCCTGATACTCTACTGCCGTCTGCCTTTCCACCAGAAGCGAAGCGTCGCCTTCCACGACCCGCCACTGGCGAGGATCGGCAGCAACAGGTCAATAATAAATATAAATATAAATATTTACTAACAATCACGCCCTGTTAACTGGTCCCGATAAATACGAGTTTAACTCGAAAAGTTTTTTTTTTAATTGATTTTATGACCTGGTAACTAAGACCTTTAGGTCATGTCTTATTTTACTTTATATTCTTATTTTTATGAAAAATGATATGGAGTGAAATGAAATGAAATGAAGATTATTAATTTAAGACATTAATCAACTGGGATGAAATTAAATAAAATGAGATGATATGGGATGAAATATAATCTCAGTAAAATGGTGGTCATTTACTGAGATTTTTTCAGTGGACTTTTTGGAGGATCCCGAGAAGTTACGTCCAGCGGCTTTATTTCATTATCCCACATTTGTGCATTTTCACAGATATTAAACAGTTATTAAACCACCGTTATTACACGTTTAAACTTGTAGAAACACTAAAGTAAAATAAAACAATTCACACAATTTCGTTCCTCGCGTTTCCGCCAATAAAATCATAGCGTACCGGTAAAATGGGGCGATTAGGGACAAATTCCAACTTTATGACCAATTTTAAGGTAGTTGTTGATGTATATAATGCTATATCAGGATCGAAATGATTGAGTCTTGGGGGCATCTTTGTTGTCCAATTTAAAACTATGCAACTAATATTCCAGTTTAAGCAAAAAAAGCAAAAATAGGTGTAATCCCTATTTACCCGAAAATTGCGGTTAATTGGGACGAAATGAGAAATTTGCTAGGGTTGCCACTACTTGGTTTTAATTTATTTATTTATTTAGTTGCACCAACAAAGTGATCATCAACTTGATTACATTTATTTACTTATGATTAATTTATATTTACTTGGGAAATGATCTGCGACAGATTTGTCCTGTAAGTTGTGATACAATTAAAAAAAACATCTATTTCATCACTTAAAATTAGTTCAGCGTAATCGGACAATTCCGAATGAACATTGACGGAGACCATGCTACCGTGGACATTATTGTAGTCCCAAAGGAGAGTAAGCTTTCTTATAAACAGTTTATATTTCTTCGTTCTTGGTAAGTACTTAGGGGCTGATATTTTTATCTGGGTTAAGAGATTAGGTGTGTCGGTTATTCCATGGATTAATCAGATCAATACCCCCACTCTGAACAAATATTAAATATTTTACTATGTATTACTTAGACGTTTTTGTCCACCTTGAGATTTCATTTTTCTTGTTAGATGTCTGTGCAAAATCGACTTACTTATATTAAATTGCTTAGCTATTTCAACGAAAGACTTATTCCCAATTTCATAGGCTTCTATTGCTGTTTTTAATATTCAGGGATCATATGAGTCGTCTATTATCAAAGGTGGCAATCTGTGCATTCGGACAAAAAAATGTTATTGATATGTTAATACAGATTGATTTGAATATAATCGTCTCCTTCAAAGAATACCGTTCAAAACCTGCATTAAATAAAGGTTAATACTTAACCTGTTATTTATCTAAGATGTCGTTCAGAAGAGTTTTGTGACTGCCAATGGAATACAAAGTCAATAATTCGTTTTTCTGATTTACCAATAATTGTCCAAAAGTCACATTGCCGGCTTTGATAATAGTCGACTCATATCTCTTATAAGGCTTTGCACTCTTTGATACGTACACGCGAGGCATATCTAAAAATAGAAAACAATACGTAGCTGATAATATAAATATTTACCAAACAATAAAATAACACTGCATTGATAATTTTGAATAAAAGTTCTAGACAAAAACATCATGAATAAACCAGATTTTTACCAACAAATTTAAAAAATATTGTTATAACTACATAGACAACCCTACAAACCTGTACCTATTTATACTTAGGTCGTTTCCATTTCACGTATTCTCATCCCAATTGACCCCTTTTTGGTTGTTATTTGTACCTAAGACGTCCCCAATATCCCCAAAAACAACAGATTTTTACATGTATTTTTATTTTATCAAATACATTAAAACTAATAACAACTGAGACTTACCTTTAATATATATGATGGTTCAAACACTAAATAACGTTTATAAATCACAGTCGTCTTCTATTATTATCAAATAAATAAAAGAGAGCAAAGTTTCTAGCACTAAAATAATGACCACCACAGGAAGTTAATTTGAAACGCGATTTTTTATAAGTTAGCAGCTATTATCATGCATATTCAGAGTTGTTTTGTGAACTTTCAATATTCTACTATTAAACTACAAAAAATGGAAGATTTTGCAACGAATATAAAACTAATATTGAGCGTCGAAAGATTTTCCCGGTTTTTTCCCGATTCGCCTCTCAATCCCTAATCGCCCCATTTTACGGTACTCGTTTACTTGACAGATCTGTGCGACCATAGCGTTCGGAATGGGCATAGACAAGGCGGACGTCCGCTACGTCATGCACCACAGCATGCCCAAGTCCATAGAAGGATACTACCAAGAGTCAGGTCGCGCTGGGAGGGATGGGCAACTGGCCACCTGCATCCTCTACTACTCCTACCAGGACATGATCAGACATCGAAAATTAAACAGTGAGCATTGAATAATAGAATTTTATGAATACGTGATGCTACTGTGTCAACTAGAGATCTAGTGAAGTTTTCGTAGGGCTGTCACAACATTTGCTCTTTGACATTATTAACTTTCCTTAGGATAAAGAGGACCAGAATAAGGATTAGTTTAAAGGAGAACACTAATGCTTAAGGATGATATTGCCATCCACGCACATCTTTGTTTCCATTAAAATTTTCTCCATTAGTAATTTATCTATTTATTTAAACAATTTTCAGTAACATTACGACATTTCAGTGAGGTCGGAAATGAGGACAGAAGCGCGCAATGTCCAAGAGGAGAACCTGCGACGTATGGTGGAGCTCTGCGAGAGTGTCACTGAGTGTCGCCGCGCCTTCATCCTGGCCTACCTCGGGGAGACCCTGCCGCGCTGCAACCCTGCCCACCCTGCCGCCTGCGACAACTGTCTGCGGACACAACGCACAGAGGTACGTACCGCCCGCCACCACCCTGGCCTACCTCGGGGAGACCCTGCCGCGCTGCAACCCTGCCCACCCTGCCGCCTGCGACAACTGTCTGCGGACACAACGCACAGAGGTACGTACCCCCGCCCCCATCCTGGCCTACCTCGGGGAGACCCTGCCGCGCTGCAACCCTGCCCACCCTGCCGCCTGCGACAACTATCTGAGGATCCAGCATATACCTATCATATGGTATAATATGGTATCATATGGATGGTATCATAGTCATCAATGACAAAAACAACCTGCGAACATCCCGACAAAATATTTTTTCAAGAGAAGTTTTTTCCGGTGCATTGTGTCACCAGAACAACCGAGTTTCTTTTTCTATTGACCCTGACTTCGCTTGAACTCTAACGTCTGATACTAGGTAACGTTCGATATAAACTGGTGACCTACTGTGGAACAGCAATGGTCTCTGGACTGCTCCGACAGTGTGGCGGTTACAGCAAGGAGTCCCGGGCCTGGCTACTCTCAACAGACAACTGATTCGCACTCACCAGATTCATTCTCGACAACAGTGTATAGACTGACGATCCAGCAAAAAGTTTTTATTATCAAATTGCGGGACGAATTAGCTCACAGCCAATCCGGTGTTAAGAGATTGCACCAGCCTATGACGTCACAAGGTGAATTCGGCCACTCACCTTGAGGCCTAAGTTTTAATTGTAGTGTAACGGCTCTCTCTCACATCAAACTGCATCACTGCTTCTCGACTGATATAGTACTCGGGCTCATAGGACGCCTTACCACTAGCAAGTACTAAAGAGCCTGGTGGAAAAGTTGAGGTTAGTAGACTAACCGGCACGAACCCCGAGCTGAGCACAGATGTGAGCTTTTGGGTTTCTTATCTACTAATTTACTGGTGTCGGGCTTCAAGTTTGTTCATGTACATCCAACTAACATACTTTCGGTTTCCATAATGACTTCCTCAGCTGCCAGTGAGATTGTTCGCCCGCAGCGCTTCGTTAGTAATAGGTAGATAAGCAATAACAAATAAACGCTTTTCCTTAAGTTATTTGCATGTACTTCTGTGTCTATATTGCATGAATATGTATACTATATTATCATATAATGTTTATTTTAAAAATATTATGTATGTATATCTTGTTTTAGTGAATAATAAAGCATATTTTATTCTCTTATAAAATTTAAATTTAAATGTGTGTCTTTATTTTAAGAAATAACTAATTTAGAAAGCGAAATTCATTTTAGATTAACGTACATAAAGAATATTGTAAGGCAATAACATGGCCCAATGTGTAGAAGTAATAAATAACAAAATTCGAAAAAAAATTTAAGATGGACTAAATCTGTGCTTTGCGTTTCTCCATATTTTTTTAAGAATGCAATGGGAAGCTCGAATCACTACTTTTGTTATACTGAGACAGATAGGCTGTTCGTGGTTATTATACAGTACTGGTAGATTCTTCACCGTCGACTTATCGACTTAAAGCCTTCGTCAAACAGAACGCGTACTTAGCGTCGCGTACTTAACGTCGCGCTCTTCAAATTGACTAGATGAGTCTAACGCGCCTTGACGCAACGCATTCGCCAAATCATAGTGCCTTTCGATAGCAGTGTGAAAATTTAAAAGTATTAAGAAATCGAGTGATTCAGATGTGGCATTGTATAAGCATGGGTATTTTCTAATTATTTATATCATTTTTTGGGGCATTATCTAGTATTTTAATACACATTCACTCGGACGCTAAAATAAAAATTGTTAAAAATTACAACGCCTGACGTCAAAGCGTCCTAACGCCGCGACAGAGCGCTGCGTACTTATAGCGCTGGGGCTCTATTTGACGGTATGTTGCCATAGTATTACAACACGTCTCGGCGTCATAGCGCGGCGTCAGTATAGCGCTCTGACGCGCGCTAATTACGCGTTCTGGTTGACGAAGGCTTAAGTTACGATATCAGCATTTCGAGATCACAGTTGCAGTTTATGTGTAAGGCTAACTTTCTTAGACGATATTCTGATATTTTTGGAACCTCTGGAGAGACTTCGGCTATTTGTTTCTGTACCTACAATATATTCCATAGTGCGGTTATCTGGGGTATTGGTTTGAATTCTCATTTTTACGATCGCATTACCCACCATCGAAAAAGTATTCTTACTACCTGGAATCAATGTGCTCATCCACAGTGCGTTTTCCAATAACTTTTGTATCATGTACCTACTATCCTGTTTTAGAATGAACTCTTACGTCGTTTAATCAAATTTTGAAATAATTGACATCGTCAGGCAGTGGGTTTGCATTGCTTCTGCCATTGCTGGTGTCCATGAGTGGCAGCGACTACTCGCCGTAAGCTAAAATTGCAATTGTTCACCCTCGTAGAGTACTAAAGGAGGACTTCTCACTGAACAGTTGTCCTACTCGGGGGGATCTGATCGATTGTTGTTTATAAAACCTGAATGTGTTTATGCAAGTATTCATGAAATTGTCTATGGGTTTTTGTTCGGTCTACGCGATTATAACCATATGATTCCGGTACCGATAAGGTTCTAGTACGGACTCGCGCCGGACGCACGATACTTCACCCGGCGTTTTGTTTGTCGTTCAGCCGGTGGACGTGACGGAGCACTGCAAGAAGATCGTGCAGGCGGTGAGGGACGCCGGCACCCGGTCGCGGAACGGCTTCACGCTGCTGCACCTCGCGGCCGCCCTGCGCGGCTCCAAGCTGCAGCGCCTCGCCGCGCTGCACGACTCGCCCGTGCACGCACTGTGAGCGCCCGCACCGCTACTTCCCACCCTGGATAACTGACGGCTTATCGTTTTTTTTTATGTCATTGATAAGCTAATCCAATCTCCCACTAAGAGATTACTAGAACTCATAGACATCACTCAAATCAAATCAAGAAAAAATTTATTCAACATAAATGAAAGTACATACTTATTGAACGTCAAAAGAACTACCGACAACTCACAAAAACTAGCCTCCGTCCTGAGAAGAACTGACAAGAAACTGAGCGGGCATGTCTTTTTATTTTATTATTAGATTATTTTTAAATATTCATTTTTAATGAGTATTATAACGTAATAATTATTTCAATATTGAAATGCCTGGAGCGAGCAACTCGTTCCCACTTTGTGCAATCCTCTAGATAATCATTGACATACTACGACGACTCCGTGAATACCGCGACCTTGAGACATGAAGTGAGGTCTCAACTGCACTGCATAACGGTTGTCGCATCCTTAAGGCACGGCTGCCGTGGTAAATAGACAAGACAGCTCCTACCCTAAGGCCTAAGATTGGCTAATTAAGCAAATCTATAAATTCTGATCCAACTTGTGTCCAAGTGACAGTTGTTGAATGCTTTAGTTGCAAGTCGTGGGACCGGAGCGACGCCCAGCGCCTGCTGCGGCTGCTGGTGGTCCGAGGGGTTCTGTACGAGAAGATCGTCGTCAACAACGACTTCGCCAGCGGATATATCGACCTGGGACCGAACGCGGACAAGTCAGTACCCGCACTGTTGGACGCGAGGCTGGGTTGTTGTGGAGTACACTGCACGAACGGAGGTCTCGTGAAGCGTCTGGCGGCCAGGATAGAATAAATGTTTTTTTTTGAAAATAACATTCGGCTACGTTCACACATAGTCTCTGTGTATACCAGCGGTCGGGGAACTTTTTTAATTATTACCCCAAAATATTTTTGTGTAAGTTGATATTACTCTATGGCGAAGAACAAAAAAAAAAACGAAATCGCTCCTTTTTAGCATCTTTCATATTATAGCCCCTAAGATAATTTTGAAAAGAAAACAATAACTAAAAATTAAATTTAAACATCATTTATTCAATTTATCAATGTAATACCTAGTAATACATGATGGTAATAATAGTAATATATGTAATATACAGTTGAGGAAAAAAATCGCCCCCACAGAAAATATAAGTAAATGTTATTTTATAATTCATATGATATTTTTCTTGTATTATTAGACGAAAAAATTTCGTTTCGTTTCATTTCGTTTCATCGAGTTTGAAATCACGATTCTAAAGAAGTCTCACTTCAATATATACTTTTTGCTCACAAAAGTTTCATTTTTACGCCCCAAAATTTCATTTTATCCCATTTGGGGTAATTCACCCCGGTTCCCCGACCGCTGGTGTATACGGTACCCGTTTTAACGAATACGACAAAAATTTATGCTTTGTTCACACATAGGCACCGTGTAACCTTTAACGTATCCGTCATTACTGGATGCGATGTTCACAAGCAAATTCGTAGTATACCGCCGCTAATCTGCCAGGATGAAACTTGTTTGTCTAGCCGCACCGCCCGCCGCCCCCTCACCCCCGCACAGTTTCTATCCGGTAAAAAACTTGTACGGAAACATGACGGATACGTATTCCGTTCATCCAGTATTCGATGACAAAACGGAATGTCATCATTTACCGGACCGGTTTTTTTTTTACTGTATACTGAATACTGTAGCATATGTGAAGTCGCTAATACGACTCCATGCTACATCGATGAAAAAAGCGTATTCGACAAAACGGAGACCATGTGTGAACAGGCACTTTTCAAATCGTTATCCCGCACGCCCGCCCGCAGGCGCCGCACGCTCTGTGCGGGGAACTCATGTTAATTGCTGGTATTTTTATTCAAATTGTTTTTTACGTTGCAACTTCTTCTTCTTTCGTTTCCTCATTACTGAGGATCGTGCCCACCTTGGTCCAGTTTTTGCACCAGCTTCCTCTAATGCTGCCTGCATTCGGCCTGCTTAATGGCGCCTGGGACGCTGGTGTTTGTGGCCTCCTTGACAATGTCCGTCCACCTAGTTGGCAGTCTTCCTCGACTTCTTTTTCCTTCCACGTGACATACAACTATTAATTTTTCCAAGTTATCAGGATTTCGTCGGGCCAATTATTAGTTGTCATTAAAATATACTTCTTTGGTGGTAAAAACAATTGCCGCGACCTAACTACAGACCTGAGGCTGAATGTTCATGTGTATTGCGTCGCAGTAAAAGTGAATAGGCGGTTGCTCGCCGTGCGTTGTTAAAACGTCATTTCGGATTCTCCCGATCCACTAACGGTGCTTTTAGGTACCTCAAGCACCGGTCACCGTTCTCGTCGAACCCGTCGCTTGCGACGAAGGGCTCGACGAGTAAATTAACCCTCAGACACAGCCCACTGAGTTTCTCGTCGGATCCTCTCAGTGGGTCGCGTTTCCGATCTGGTGGTAGATTCTGCGAAGCACGGCTCTTGCTAGGGTTCGTGTTAGTAACGTCGTCAGGTTTGAGCCCCGTGAGCTCACCTACTAGTTAAGGTTCCGCTGATATAGCCTCTCAAGGCTATCAGCTTAGGTAGGAAAAAAAAGCCGTGCGTTGTGAGACGTGCCGGCCTGAGCTGCCCCCCCTCGTTTACAGACTCATGAAAAATCGCATCCGCATAGTGTTCCCGATGTCGAAGACAACCGACAAGAACAGCTTAACGATAGCCCCCGCAGAGGTCCGGCCCACGCCCCCCGCCAGCGACCTGGACTCCACGCTGGCCAAGCTCGAGCTCAGGTGCTATGCCGACCTGGTGGAAGTGTGTCGGTGAGCCGCCTTCAATACATCTTGTGTAACAATTATACTCCGCGCGCGAGCTCCGAGGATTCGGGGGCCGAGGAAGCGGGCGGGCGTGCACCGCGCCCGCCCGTCGCTTCATACCCCGCTCTCTCCCAGTACTAGTGTTGACCTTAACGTGAGAGTACGCTTACCGACTCGTTGATTTTAATTTTGCGATAGCAGTGTTAATTACGTGTGATTTCTGATATAAATAGTCTTACACTTATAAGTCTTTTTGTTTGCACAAATAGCTATTTAATTTGATGAAAAAGGAATGGCGAGCACTAGCATAATAAACATGTCTTAACATTAGAGGAATATTACTGGCAAAAGGATGGCTTAATGGAGGACTTTGTCGAATCATTTATTATTGAAGTATGTGAGGAGAATACATCAAATTCTTCAACTACTGATTAATCTGATTGCGAGAGTAATTAATAAGATTTCACGTTCATTTTGTTCAATAAAACTCAGTTCATTAAATGAAATTCATACGTGATCAATTGTTTTTTCTTTTTCAAGTACATCTTATATAACTCCTCATATAACTATTTTATAATTTACACTCGCACGGAGGCTTACGAGGTGTTAGTATCGATAGCGCAATATCGACTAATTACAACACTAGCTCATCATTACGTCAACATTCCTTAAAAATCCTCGGAGCTCGCGCGCGGACAGTACATTGAAATTACATGGGAAAAAAGAAATTTTAAAATTTTGTAAATTCATCTATACTTTTATACTAATATTATAAAGAGGAAAGATTTGTTTGTTTGTTTGTATTGAATAGGCTCCGAAACTACTGAAACGATTTGAAAAATTCTTTCACTGTTTGGAAGCCACACTATTCCCGAGTGACATAGGCATATCTTTTTTGAAAAAAATTTGGGATCCTTACTAAAACTCCAATAATGTAACGCAAGGTGTAAAAAAATTGCCTAGAATATTCTTTACATCGCGTGCCCTGCGAAAACTATTGATGGTAGAATAAAATAATGTACTACGACTTTGTAGAACACGTTATTATTTACAAAAGGGGTCGCGACAGCATATGTCTAACTATTATAGTTATGCCGTAACAAGTGTTCTTTTATTTCAAAAAATAAAACAACGTCAAATATTGTTGAAATTTTTGTTAAAGACCCGAGCGGAGCCGGAGCGGGCCGCTAGTAAATTATAACTTCGATCACTTCGACCGACGTTGAACGTGTAGGGATTGTGAGATGTGCCGCAAATGTGTCATACGGTATACGAAAAACTAGTTGTTCCGAGTGGGAACTGTCGCCCTTTACTTGTGTGTATTTGCTATACGTTACGGCCCCCACTGACGCGTCTGTGTGCGGGGGCAGCGAGCGCGGCGCGACGCTGGCGGACGCGGCGCTGCGCATGACGTCACGCGTGCTGCCGCGCACGCCGCAGGAGCTGCAGCGCGTGCCGCAGCTGCCGCTGGACGCGCGCCGCCGCCTCGGGGACGCGCTGCTGCGGGTCACGGCCGCCTACGCAGACGAGAAGACGGGTCAGTTCATTTCCGCCTTGGGTCGGTGGGAGACTGACAGTTCATTTATTGTGTAAATCGAAGATCATAATAATTACGTACGACTATCATTGGAATGGTGTTTCTCAGGCATCAAAAAAAGGATTGTGTGGTTTTATGAAACCACTGTAAAAGTGAATTTTTTTTTCACATTATAGACATTAAACTCTGACAAACAACATTCACATTAAACACTGACAAAAACAAACAAAATAGCGTAGAGCACTGGTACAAATTATTAATAGTCTATACACTACACGGTCAGCTGCTGCGAGCTATAGGCGCCGCCATATTGGCCTTGGCTGCTCTGACGAGCGCCTTTCACTTTATCCCTACTCTGCGGCCGACCGTCACGCGACATGCAACACACAGACGAAAAAGTTTGAGACGATGTAATAAAAGTTTCATCAAAAAATAATTAACAATGTAAAAGCCACGTGTACACATAACACACATAACCAATTGATAGTTATTTTACAAATGCTACTAACTTTACTCATAGATCTCGTAACGTATCGCTGTTCTATGACGGGTCGTGCGCAGTACACATTTTTCATCAAATAAATCAATAATAATGAACCATAAATAAATCATATGCTATTTATTGTTTTTGTACAGCATTGCAAAAGCAGTATGAAAAAGAAACAATTGAGGAAAAAGAAAATGACGAAAACACGTCTGGATCTGAATCGGAGTGGTCCCGGCCCGGACCTAGCCAGCCGACCAACACCTCCGCGCGGAGCGGCCGTGCGAGGTGGAACTATAAGGCCGGTGTGAGGAAGAGGTAAAGGCTTGTGTAATATAATAGGTTAGGTACTTGCGAACACTACAAATATTAAAGTAGAACTAAAAACTGTGTTCAACACTAAGAACACTTAAACACTTCACAAACACTTTAAAGCACTCAAAAAGCACTTTAAAACTCTCAATTCTCTTCTTCCGCTTCTCTTCAGGTGCTCCGTTCGCTGTTTCACTTCGAGTGGTTCAGCTTACTACTGACTGACTGCGCGGCATCCCTACAACGCTTTTATAACCGATACCTCATCCCTAGAATTATCGAGAATATTCTACACGTCTCTAGTACTAGTTTCCGCTATATGTCAATAGATGCCGTTGTACTTCTCGAGCGCTCTGGGCGCTACTAGATCCTGTGATATTCGTTCGATTATTCGGCGATAGATGGCGTTACTCTTACCCGCGTAACAATACTATAAATATTTAACTACAGAACAAAACCGCCTGCAATTCAGTTAAATATGTATTATGAAGAACATCTCCAAAACTAAATAAAATGAAAATAAATTAGTGACCTGAGCGAGAGTCTGTGGACACATGGACCATCCCGTGCTGTGATATCATTCATCCTATTATTTTGTAAAAGTAACCTTTACACTTTTCCTATCAGGTACAAGAGGAAAGCGCCGTCGTCTGCGAAGAAGAAAGCGTTGAGTAGCGTGCTGCGGGGCGGGGGGCGGGGCGCGGCGCGGGGCAGGGGGCGGGGCGGCGGCGCGGCGGGTGCGTGCTCACCTGCACTCGTTGCTTTATTAACTGTCTTTTCGCAGCCTCTCACCCCCCTTCTTATGTGCTTTTTTTATTTATTGCTTGGATGAGTGGAGTTAGTCTAAAAAAAGTAGCCTAAGTTACTCGTTATATCATCAGCTACCTCTCAATGAAAGTCTTGTCAAAATTGGTCCAGCCGTTCCGGAGATTAGCCGGAAAAAACAGACAGACAAACAAAAATTGTAAAACATGTTATTTTGGTATATGTACCGTATATATATTCATATGCATATAGTAAAAAGGCTATTACAATATTACAAACAGACACTCCAATGTTATTTATATGTATATATTTTTTTTTTTATTCGAATAATGTAACTCACAAAACACTGGTTTCAAAGAATATTCAAGCTATTGAACTATTATATAGTACAGTGACATTAACATTTACAATAATGTGTGGCAGGCGGCGGGCTGGGCAGCATGCCGGTGCCGCGCGCCGCCGCCCTGCACGCGCGCCCCGCCGTCCTCAAGCCCTCCAAGCTCTCCTCATTCTGACCCCGCAGAGAATCTTCAACTTTATATTTATTAACAATAAGACCTATGACTGATATAATAGGTACGTAGAAAATTTGACACTTTTTTTAACGATGACGTAACACCATCTCCCCGGTATCCCCAGGTAAACTCACTGGTGGTAGCCACCCTGCCTATTTCTGCCGTGAAGCACTAATGCGTTTCGGTTTGAAGGGTGGGGCAGCCGTTGTAGATATCTTTGTAGATATCTATAGGCTCCAGTAACCACTTAACGCCAGGTAGGCTGTGAGCTAGTTCACCCATCTCAACAACAAAAAAACCATAGAACAACAAGCTGTTTACTGATGATTTCATAAAATCTGTTGTGTTTATCAATATCACTCAGCATTGTTACGAATGTTTATAGTTTTCGTGATCACTGACGAATGGACTCCGGATGTCGTAATTAGCCACCGAATGTCAATTGGACATTTGATGTGTGGAGGGCTCGCCTGGTGAGAAGCAGTCGCCTGACAAGCAGCGAGGTCTCCGCCGCGTGGGGCGGGGATCAACACCCCCGTGCTTGCGACACCCCCTGTTACCACTACATAAATCTAATCTAGATCATAAATATGTTAAACTCATCGTAATATCCTAAAATAAAATTTCACTTTTAAAATTGTTTGTTAAAGTGCCCTATAAACGATCAAATTGTTTGTCAAATTTTACGTGTTCGTCAAATTATTTGACAGCATGCAGCTTTGTTTGACGCGTTTGTCAAACAGTCTACGTGTTTGACGCGTTTGATGGAAATCTTGATTGACGGCGTGTTTGTCAAACAAGATCTCAGTCTACGGCAAGGAGAAAACCGAATCTATGGGCAAGTTAAAATAAACTTGTTTGATCTTTGGTTTGATCTTTTAATCTATTGTTTGATGAAAACGTAAATTTTGACAAATTTGTCAAACAAATTTGATTGTTTACAGGGCGTTTAACGAAAATATAACCCAGAATGCGTACTCTCGTGCATCTGCCATTTTGAATAACAATAATAAATCTCTTTTGCATTATATCGATGTATTTTTTTTTAATGTATATTAGTTAATGTTTTGATGAAATAAAACAAAGATTTTGTTACGAAACTGTGTTTTAATTTTGCACGTGTATGAGTATTTTCATGGCGGCACCGGATTTGGCTAAATCCAGTGCTTCTTTGGTCTTGTTCAATGGGAAGCGATGAGTGATGAACTGGTCCAAGGGGATGGCCCCGGAGGACACGGCGGCCAGGGCGGGCTGATACCTGCAATGATTCGCGTCACGACCGAAGGAAACTTTTTTTTTATTGTTTAGATCGATGGACAAGCTCACGGCCCACCTGGTGTTAAGTGGTTACTGGAGCCCATAGACATCTACAACGTAAATGCGCCACCCATCTTGAGATATAAGTTCTAAGGTCTCAGTATAGTTACAACGGCTGCCCCACCCTTCAACCCGAAACGCATTACTGCTTCACCGCAGAAATAGGCATGGCGGCGGTACTTACCCGCGCGGACTCACAAGAGGTCCTACCACCAGTAATTACGCAAATTATAATTTTGCGGGTTTCATTTTTATTACACGATGTTATTCCTTCACCGTGGAAGTCAATCGTGAACATTTGTTGAGTACGTATTTCATTAGAAAAATTGGTACCCGCCTGAGATTCAAACACCGGTGCATCGCTCAACACGAATGCATCGGACGTCTTATCCGTTAGGCCACGACGACTTTTTGCACTGCACGAGTCTCTCACGTTTAATCAATATAATTGAATATAATAGTAATGCATATGATCTCTTCTCTTCCTTTTCTCTACCTTATACCACTAGGTGGGGTCGGCACAGCTAATTTTTCTCTTCCATTCTCTTCTATCAACCGTCATATCAACACGCACTCCTCTCTCTCATATCGCCATTCACACACTCCATCCATGCCTTCTTCGGTTGACCTCTTCTCCTTCTACCTTGCAATAATGCAACTGGTAATGCATATGATCAACCACCACAAATAACCAAGGTAGATAGATCTGCACCAACAAACTGACAAGATTAAAGAATTCGCTACGTACGTGCTCATAATACGAAAGGACCCTACAACATCAACTTCTCTGAGCAGCGCTTGTGAGAGCGGCAGCTCCACTGTTTTGTCAGCTATGCCGACCACCAGTACCAAGCCCGCTGTCTTGGTCACCTGGAATTGGATAAAGCCTGATCACTCCTACCATTAACAAACGAGGAGACACATTCAAAAATGAACATCATGATTTTTTTTACATTTTTAGTGTTTTTTTTATGACTGACGTATTACTGGTGGCCCGGAGGCCTTTCCACTTTCACTTGCACAGGTGGGCGAGCAAAGGCTCAGCCAGGAGATGGGTGGGATTAGCTAACAGCTGCTCGAGCGCCTCCGAAGGAGACCTAACAGCTCAAGGGTAGCTGCTTTGCGAATGAATTTTTATGGTACAACCTAATGAAGTACTTTGAAAATATGGGTTGTATTTTGAAGCCGCAAAGGGGCGCTGTAAAAAGGCTGGTGGACTATGAGAAAGGATGTGCAAGAGAAGAGTGTGAGTGCGTGAGAAGAGATGACGTATGATATGTTTTAATGGGAAAGCCGTTAAAGTGGTTGTTTTAATTAGTTTTAACAGTTTATTTAATTGTGTAAACGGATGAGGGAGGGACATACGACTCATCTGGTGCTATGTGGTTACCGAAACCCAGTGAGAATGGTGCTCCCTACCTTGGGACCTTAGGATGAAATCTAAATTTTGTCGGAAAACGATCCTTACCCTTCGAACTAGAACAGACTGTTTTGCGACAGAAATGGACAGTATAGTATTGTTACGTGGTTGTTACGTATCCGCTTGCAATATGCCGCAACACTAGCAAAAAAGTGTATTCTTCGTACAATTAGCAACAGTTACCGAAGCGTAACGGGTTCACTGGTCATAAATAAAATAACTTGCGGTAGGCAGCGGCTTGGCTCTGCCCTTGGCATTGCTGAAGTCCATGGGCGACGGTAACCACTCACCATCAGGTGAGCCGTATGCTCGTCTGCCTACAAAGGCAATAAAAAAATAATAAAAAAAATAACATATCGACGCTTGAAAGGCAAACGTGACTAAGCGACATTGCGTGAACTTTACAGTAGACTAATTTAAAGTTGAAATACCTGAAAAAAAAATCTATTTTAACGAATCTAGCTGTAGGATTGAAATGATTTTAATAGACCTAGAATTTCTTTTTTGCGCGTCGAATATGGTTATTGCCTATCATTTATGTAAAAAGCAGTTATTGTCGCTTAGTCACGTTTGCCTTTCAAGCGTCGATATAGAGACCTACCAGTAAAGCGACTCTCTGCGCCGACCCGTACCCGCAGGCATCGATTGAAACATCCGGGTGGTCACCGAGCAACTTCACAATTTTTTCTACAACCTCCTCGTCGGTGTACTCCCGACGGACGAGGAGGACGTTATCCGCTCCCAGCTCCAGTGCCGCGTCTAAACGTGACTGAACTACGTCTGTAAGATCAATGACATTGGTGGAATAGGCAAAGGTTTTTTTTTATTGCTCAGATGGGTGGACGGGCTCACAGCCCACCTGGTGTTAAGTGGTTACTGAAGCCCATAGACATCTACAACGTAAATGCCGCCGCCCACATTGAGATATATGTTCTAAGATCTCAGTATAGTTCCAACGGCTGCCTCACCCTTCAAATCGAAACGCACTGCGTCACGGCAGAAATAGATAGAGTGTTGGTACCTACCCGTGCGGACTCGCAGGACGTCCTACCACCAGTAATTACACAACATTAATTATAATTTTGCGGGTTTGATTTTTACTACACGATGTTTTATTCCTTCACCGTGGAAGTCAATCGTGAACATTTGTTAAGTACGTATTTCATTAGAAAAATTTGTACCTGCCAGCGGGATACGTACACCGGTGCATCGCTAGATACGAATGCACCGGACGTCTTATCCTTTAGGCCACGACGACTTCAAACAGTCTTCGAACTTATAACAGTCACGACTATAGCAGTTACGTGTGCCAGTTTAAAAGATGCAACAGGCTTTGTACACGGCGTGAACTTAATTTTGTCACGTTGAGATGGCATGGGCTTTTGTAAACCAAATACAAGGTGGCCGTAAGCTCGTCGACCTATCTTTAGCAAGAGAAGAAATAATTATTGAATACTACCAACGTTGCTACTGTACTAAAGCTATTTCAGTAATTTCATTGGTCTACTGGACGTAAATCCCGTCAGATTCACTACTTATTCTAGTAACCTCGAGGGGTTATTCTAGATTCACCGAACTAGTAAGTGAGCTCGCGGGGCTCAAACCTGACGTTGTTGCTAACACGAACCCTAGCAAGAGCCGTGCTTCGCAGAATCTACTACCGGATCGGAAACGCGACCCACTGAGAAGTTCCGGCAAGAAACTCAGTGTGCTGTGTCTGTGGGTTAATTTACTCGCCGAGCTCTTCGTCGCAAGCTACGGGTTTGACGAGAACGATGACCGGTGCTTGAGGTACCTAAAAGCACCGGTAGGTAGGTATAGACAACTGTTGACAGTTCACAATATGTCCTGCCACCTAAATATGACATGTTCTTCTTCAAACAAGGCTTGTGGAGATTATTAAGCGGTAGGCAGCGGCTTGGCCCTGCCCCGGCATTGTTGAAGTCTATGGGCGACGGTAACCACTCACCATCAGATGGGCCTAAGCTCGCCTGTCTACAAGGGCAATAAAAAAAAACCTGAAAGTTTCTAGTAAATATATTATAATAGTTATAAATATATTTTGCTACCTGTTAAAATAATTTTGCTAGCTCCCATTGCTTTGGCCGCCATAGCACACAAGATGCCAATAGGCCCGGCCCCAAGGATAACGATCTTAGATCCGAGAGTTATCTTGGCGCGGTTGCAGGCGTGGATCGCGATGGCGAGCGGCTGGACCGCTGCCCCTTCCTCCATTGATAGATTATCTGGTAATCTAATAGAAGAACAAACAGAAACCTAAGAAGCTATCTCTGAACAAAATGATCGGAACCGGATATTTCCGATTGGTTATTTATACGAAATTACATAATGCACATCTAAAAAGAGTTGGTAAAAAAAACAAAATTGATTTTTTTAATTGCAGAAGTTGCACATTTTTCAGAGTCAGTCCCTATTCCAAATCTTCAGATTTAACAAACTATAGGTACCTACAACTAATTTACTTTCAGCCTACAGAAGTCCACTGTTGCACATGGGCCTCCCCAAGCCTCGCCACAATGTAACAAACAACGCATTTTAAATTAACAGACTAATATCTTAACACTCAAATCACTTTTTCACTGGTGGTAGGACCACTTGTGAGTCCGCGCGGATAGGTACCACCGCCCTGCCTATTTCTGTCGTGAAGCAGTAATGCGTTTCGGTTCGAAGGGTGGGGTAGCCGTTGTAACTATACTGAGATCTTAGAACTTATATCTCGAGGTGGGTGGCGCATTTACGTTGTAGATGTCTATGGGCTCCAGTAACCACTTAACTCCAGGTGGGCTGTGAGCTCGTCCATCCATCTAAGCAATAAAAAATAAAAAAATAAAAAAAACTTAATTGACATAGTTAACTATATATTATTAAGTGAAGGAAAAAGTTTGTATCCCTTTTTACGAAAATTGCGCGGACGGAGGAGTATGAAATTTTTCACACTTATTCCACACGTCTGTGGTCAAATTGAGAATAGATTAATATTGTTTGTCTTTATTAATATTTGTCTATAGTGTAGTCTTGGCGAAATTTATGATTATAGAAGTATAATAGTCTTTGAAAATAGAATGCGGGATCACTAGTTTAATTAATTATGCGAATGTCAATAATGCTTTAAAGCCAGTGTAAATTTTTTTTAAATCCTCGGGTAATTTAGCCCTGAAGACAATGACGAGTTTAAAAAATACATTTTTTTGTGTTGTCCAGTTGGAGCACTGGGTATGAATACTCCAGAGGGTCCCACAAACAAGTTCGTAAAGGAAGGTAGCGAGCGAGGTGCGGACGTATTCTCGTGTGTATGCTTCGGTGGTTGCGGGTGAACTGTCGGCGCCAGTAAAGGCGCACGCGCGGCTTGCCAAAAGGAAAGCCACTCGGTCGCTACTCTTTGAATCGCGCCGGGAGCCGACAACGAGAACCCCTCATTGTCGCGGTGCGCTATCAGACGCGGCTGCCGACGCGGCAGGCGTTAGGGTTGCTATAATTTATTTATTTATAATTTTTGTAACGAATTTGAAATACAAAAACAATTTACTTACTTATGACAAAAATCGGCGACGTGCTTGTAGTAACGGCACAGGTTTCCCGGAGCGCCCATCGAGGAACAATAACGTGGCTCCACACACAGATTGTACTTCCCTCGTTTGCACAGCTCACAGGACCGACAGGGCTGCGTCGGTTCTATTGCCACTCTGTCGCCCGCTCTCAAACTGCTTACTTTGTCTCCTACCTGCCGATACGTATTACCTTTTTTCGTTATCATGTGACGATCGATATATATAAATCGCGAAAATAGGCATAATATGTCCTGCCGCTAGTAATTAGGTATGTAATTTACAAATTCATGTGGGTTTCATTTCATTAGGTACAGAATACCTAATTGATATTCCATTTGACTCCATACAGTAGAAGGCGGCCATTCGGATTGTCGATAATCCCACTGTCACGGATCGTTTGGAACCTTTGGGTCTGCGGAGGGACTTCGGTTACCTCTGTATTTTGTACCGTATGTTCCATGGGGAGTGCTCTGAGGAATTGTTTGAGATGATACCTCTATCTCGTTTTTACCATCGCACCGCCCGCCACCGGAGTAGAGTTCATCCATACTACCTGGAGCCACTGCGTTCATCCATAGTGCGCTTCCAGAGATCATTTTTGCCACGTACCATCAGACTTTGGAATGAGCTTCTTTCTACGGTGTTTCCCGAGCGCTATGACATGTCCATCTAAACTTAAACTAGGCTTTTGGAGAGTACTTAATGGTAGACAGCGGCTTGGCTTTGCCCCTGGCATTGCTAAAGTCCATGAGCGACGGTACTTATTTTAGGGATTCTTAAAATTTAAGGGCAGCTTTAAACAGAAGATTAGCGTTATATTCATGTAATAATTTATGTAACCTTGACCACAGTTCCGGCACCTTCGTGACCAATGACAATCGGTTTGTCGATAACATCCGCTCCACACGTACCCGTGCTGTATAACTTGACATCAGAGCCGCATATTCCGACACAGTCTATCTTTATTAAAACCTCTGCATCAAAAATAAAACATTTTAATTTAGGTAAAAATAGAACCATATAGCAAGACGCACAGACAAAAGATGAACATTACAGACAACTATGTGGAAAGGACCAACCTTTACCCGAGAAGGGGTTCTGATCAATGGTACTGAAGAAAGTAACTAAAGCGAGTAAAAGAAAATAAAAGAAATTACCTAGTATGTATTAAATTTCATGTAATAACGATTATTATTATTATGGATAGGAAATGAACGGGCTTTATTATTATTATTATAAAAATTTAATAACAAACGACAAATCTATGTTATATACTACAAAAACGCGCTTGAATAACAAGCCGAAAATATAAATTAAAAACAATTTAATCGTGCTGAGCTTTGTCAGAATATTAAAGTAATAAAATTGTTTTAATGTTGTCACGCGGTGCATATTTTCAAGGAACTTGAACGCTTTTTTTATTGCCTAGATGTGTGGACGGGCTCACAGCCCACCTGGTGTTAAGTGGTTACTGGATCCCATTGACATCTACAACGTAAATGCGCCACACACCTTGAGATATAAGTTCTAAGGTCTCACTATAGTTACAACGGCTGCCCCACCCTTCAACCCGAAACGCATTACTGCTTCACGGCAGAAATAGGCTGGGCAGTGGTACCTACCCGTGCGGACTAAAAAGAGGTCCTACCACCAGCAGAAAGTTTTATTGGTGCGTTGAAAAATGTCTCTTACTTAAATAAAAATAAATACAGGTCATGTTAACAGAAGCGTATTAATGATTCTTCCCAAATGTTGGTGCATTTCCGTTTAAACTTCGTACAGCTGGTGGTGACATTTCCTAATAGACATGGATTCCAGTCCGATGTATGAGACTGTACTTACTTATTGTGTAATACACTCGAGGTTTCGATCTTAAGTGTGAACAAGAGTGGTGGTCAAAACTTTTCGTTTTTCGAGTTTCTCAAATAAAAAAATAACTTTTACCGTCATCGTTTATCTCGGGCACTGGAATTTTCTCCTGAAATTAAATTACATAAGTAGTATTTTATTTTATTTATTAATTATTTATTTGGGAAACAAACAGTACAATACAAACATATAATATTTAAAAAAAATATAGCTAAAACAATAACCAAATATGTTTCCACAATCAAGTAGTAAATAATAATAAAAAAAACTATTAATTTTATATTATAACAGTTCTATGAAAGTTTTCATCGAAATATATCGTCCCATTATCATTCCTCAAAAGGTCAATGTGATAAGGCAACGTAAAAATAAAAAACTTATAATTCAGTTTATTGTATTTGTTTTTATTATATAACAGTTAGTATACGTAGTATGTTTTTTTATACATTTATATTGACGAATAAAATCACAAATACAAGTTTACCTTGTAAATTTCGCTAATGTCGCCAATTGTTACACTATATAGTTATCTTATCATATTTACTTTATTTAACTAATTTTGTATTTTCTACTGTGTTCAATTAAGAGTTTTATATTCTTCCTCATCTTTAATAGATCGTAGTTCATTTATGGTACTTTCATTAGAAATAAAAAATAAACAAATTTTCAAGCTTTTGTTCTGTCAGCCCACAGACGTCCACTGCTGGACATAGGTCTCCCCCAAGCCTCGCCACAAAGATCGGTTCTGCGCTGCTTGCATCCAGAGGATCCAAGCTTAGGGACGATATAACAGTTAGAAGAGGTTCTAAATTGAAGTGAAAGATTTTATTGCTTTATGACTACTACTTTATCAATTAATGCATCAACACAATGGTTTCAAATTTTATAAACTCAGGTTAATTTCGAACACATATATAAACACATTCTACGTGTGTGCACTCGAAAGACAAGCTGGACGTAATTAGAAGCTATACATAAAACAATTTAATGTCTTTGTTTTAAAGATTAAATATAAAGTAATTTAAATACACATATTAAATATTTTGTATATAATTAATATTGATAGTAAAAAGAGCCTCACGATTCTGACGTCGTTGGCTCCGTGTAACACAGCAGCGTAGTTCTCGGTCATCTTGCAACCCGTTAACTTCGATAACTATTTGAGTAATGATTACAAAATCGTAACGAGAGCGCGATATCTTTGGACGCAGATAATAAATCTTCTTTAAAATAAAAATTAGGGATGTTCATCTGTAGGAGCGCTCGATCGATATGCATTCTTCTCAATTTTTATAATAGCCTTAGGTTTTTTAGTGAAAGAAATTCAATACACAATCTGGAATAAACTCTAAAATGGATAAAATTCCTCAAAAGTTTAAATATAAGTAGTTATGTTGAAACTATTATGTTCTGCAAATCGGAAAGAGACTGTTGTACTATTAATCAGAAGATACGGGTAGACTGCAGAGGCGAGGGGTCTTCAAACTTCAACTACTCTTATAAATTGTGATAGCTGTAATTGTAACGTAATTGAGAGTACCTTTATATACTTCTTTAACAGTACGCATTCCCCCAGAGCTATGCTTCATAAGATAAATCCCCATTATGAATGAGAACATGGCCATAACCACAGATAATACATATCGACGCTTGAAAGGCAAATGTGACTAAGCGACAATAACTGCTTTATACATAAATGATAGGCAATAACCATATTCGATGCGCAAAAAATATATATTTCTAGGTCTATTAAAATCATTACAATCCTATAGCTAGATTCGTTAAAATATAAAAAATTTTCAGGTATTTCAACTTTAAATTAGTCTAGTCTTTAAATCGGTCTAAAAAAGCACCAGTGCGTCTCCTCCCGTGGGTATCGTAAAAGGCGATTAAGAGATTCATTGGAGCTACATTCTCTGTGTATCACATCAGCAAACTGCGATGCCCAAATAGCATTTACTGGTATTAGGACGTGTTGTGAGCTCGCATAAGGCGGTACCACCATATTGCCCATTTCGGGCGAAAATAATCATATCATATCATAATATGTCACACGATCCTGCCTAAAGGCTGGGACGTTATAGAATGCAACTAATATTTCTACGCTGTGAGGTATATGGGCTAGGATAACTGTGCAGTGTGTAAGATGGGCTGTACGTTAGTTCATCCATCTAGGCAATAACAAATAAAACAATAATTACACGTATATAACACGTATATAATACAAATAACAAAAACGTACATTAAATACAAAGGTTTTTTCGATCAAAACGACTTGCGGCTGTTGCCACGAGGATGGCGGTATTATTGAAAGATTACTGGTGGCCCGGAAGTCTTTTTAGATTCACCAGGACAGGTGGGCCACTACGGGCTCAGTCAGGAGCGCCTCCAAAGGAGATAGCAATTCCAAAGCAGTTGCTTCGCGAATTAAATGCACGTTGTGGGTTGCGACGAGGCAAGAAAATACTAGGAAAAGTTGACATTCTATATAATTTCTTACAGCTAATTAAATAGACACTTACGAAATTCTGTTCGACTTTAGTTATGGAGATATTATAGAAATTTATATATTGTATTTCTATGGACAAGTGAAGGCAGGATTTTCATTTATTCCTATTCTGTAAAAAATATAGGTTCGTTTTGAAGAATTTCGCTGCAAAGTACCCACACTTGAAAATCCCTTGATTATCACGTTTCTTTAAGGTATTTAAACGAATGATCTGTGTTTAAACATTTTATTATTAACATACAAAAAATAAATAAAATGAAAATTATAAATTCATGATTTCTGCTAGAAAACTGGAGAAATGACTGGTGATATGTAGTAATAACATACACGAATACATTTCTTTAAAAAAAATCAGAAATATAAATTAGCTGATTGAGTTACTGGAGAGGTCAACGCCCTTGTGTGACGCGGGGGGCGACCTCCAGTAGTCTTCACAACAGTTTACGAGTTTTCAGAATAACAAATTATAAAACCATTTTTTAGCAATGGCTATTGTTTAAATGTCAGTATATATAATATTATATAGGTTTTGGGAATGCGCGTACCCTGTGTCAATTACATTACTTTGAAACTTATATATATCTAAAAAACATCAATAAACAGTTGCAATTCAAATTTTCACTGTGTATCGTACATTTTTATATTATAATATCATTATTTATACCCGAAAAGTAGATTCGTTACAATTTGGCACAAAGGGCTCATCGTCATGTGACTTTAAATCGGATCGTTTGGAAACTCTGGATCTGCGGAGAGACTTCGGTTCCCTCTGTATTTTGTACCGTATGTTCCATAGGGAGTGCTCTGAGGAATTGTTCGAGATGATACCGGCATCTAGTTTTTACCATCGCACCGCCCGCCACCGGAGAAGAGTTCATCCATACTACCTGGAGCCACTGCGGTCATCCACAGTGCGTTTCCAGAGGTCTTTTTTGCCACATACCATCCGGCTATGGAATGAGCTCCCCTCCACGGTGTTTCCCAGCGCTATGACATGTCCTTCTTTAAACGAGGCATGTGGAGAGTATTTAGCGGTAGGCAGCGGCTTGGCTCTGCCCCTGGCATTTTTGAAGTCCATGGGTGACGGTAACCACTCACCATCAGGTGGGCCGTATGCTCGTCTGCCTACAAGGGCAATAAAAAAAAACAATATTTCTTTAGAAATTAATTAGGTACATAATTGTCATCTTTATTATTTCATATAACAGACATGACAATTGTTGTACATATCGGGATGTCCATATTGCCTACTCTTTGAAAAATTGCTACAAAATACTATATCGACTGATGAAAAGCTATTTGGTTTAAACCGAAATTTTTGCAATTTTATAGGGGCGCTACTTAAAGCTTAAAATTTGAAAAAAATATAATAAATAAAAACTTCTTCAGCTATTTAAATGTAGTAAGCTTAATTGAAGTTCAATCAAAAACATCGAATTGTTGATGTTAATACCAAATAAAACGCACCTTTAATCACAATATAAATGTGGTGTATTAAGCGAAATGTCGTTTAAATCGCCTCGATAGAATATCTACTGGAACCTGTATGCTCTTTTTAGAACAATTTAGTTGCAATAGTTCAGAACTTTTGCGGGTTGTTCGTGTCTCGCGGCTGGACGTGGATCATGACCTTGATGCCGGCCCCCTGGCGCGCCACTTCGTACGCCTCCAGGCTCTCCTCGATGCTGAAGTGGTGGGTGACCAGCGGCTTCACGTTTATTTTCCCACTCGCTACCATCGCTAGTGCAGTGGGGTAGCTGAAGATTTAACGATATGTTTTTGTAGTAAAACTTCTTTAAGTGCGTTGAGAGTTGAAATTTAACTCGCGACAGATTCGTTACGGTTAGAGAGAAAAGATAAAATTTAGGACGAGCGAGAGTAAGAAAATACAACGAGCGTCTCGCAAACCACTCGACCTTAGAGAGAGGGAGAAAGCGAGCTAGGTCGTTTCTCTTATACACATTCTGTTTACGGGTGTCGGGCACTAGATGGCTTGTAATTAGTTTCCATTGCTCCTGTAGATGGCAGTAACATATTAACTAGATATCTTATATTTTATTTTTAATGAAGGATTTAAAAAAAATCGATGTATAATTTAAAATATACATATGTGAAGGATCATTTTTCTTATACACAGCATTCCCAATTACAAGAGAAATTTGATTTAAGGATGAAAAATGAAGAAAATCATTATGGCGATTTACCAGTGCCGATATGGTGCCAGTGTCTGATGCCATGTATTTACTTACTCGTTAACGTATCGGAAGATGCCCCGGATGTCGACCTCCCGCGAGAGGGCGCCCGCGAGCGGCACGGTCTGCTCGGGCGCTCCCATGCCGACCAGCACCGCCACGCCGCCAGACTTCGTGGCCTAGCGAACAGTTCCAGACCATATTATCCAGACCATAATATAGAAGTCGTCGCGTCCTAAGGATAAGACGTCCGGTGCATTTGTATCTAGCGATGCACCGGTGTTCGAATCCCATTGGCAAGTTCCAATTGTTCTAATGAAATACGTACTTAACTAATGTTCACGATTGTCTTACACGGTGAAGGAATAATCGTAAATTACATCGTCTAATAAAAATCAAACCCGCAAAATTATAATTTGCGTTATTACTGGTGGTAGGACGTCTTATCCCCACGGGTAGGTACCACCGCCCTGCCTATTTCTGCCGTGAAGCAGTAATGCGTTTCGATTTGAAGGGTGGGGCATATTGACGATATGACAGTGGTGACGATATATACGGCAGTTATTTATTATGAATATTTTAATAATGATGATATAATTAATTAATAGCTTAAAATTAACAAATATTTTACTAACTAGCAAAGCTAATCTGATGGTGGTCTGGGCCCCACTCACGTCGAACGACACGTCAGGATGTCCCTCCAGTAGCGCATGAATCTTCCTCACCAGCTCAGCCTCGTTCGAGTCCTTGCCTATGAGAAGTGTGTAGTCGGCGCCTAATGACTTGGCGAAATCCAAACGGCTCTGAAGAATATCTGGAATGAAAACGATTTCAAAGGTAAAATAATGGCAACAATGTCATAAAAAGCGTGAAAAAGCATATATTCTATTTTGACATTCTTAAAGGTTAAACGTTTCGCTAAATGACAGGTCTTTATTGTCAGTACTTTGTGTTTGGATGGATGTTTATTTAAATTAAATTATACGTGCCACGTGCCACGTTGCCTTACTGACTTAACTCATACAGATATTTGTGAAATAGAGTTTGTTTGTCACGCTTTCAGATTTTTTTTTATTGCTTAGATGGGTGGACGAGCTCACAGCCCACTTGGTGTTAAGTGATTACTGGAGCCCATAGACATCTACAAAGTAAATGCGCCACCCACCTTGAGATATAAGTTCTAAGGTCTCAAGTATAGTTACAACGGTTGCCCCACCCTTCAAACCGAAACGCATTACTGCTTCACGGCAGAAATAGGCGGGGTGGTGGTGCCTACCCGCGCAGACTCACAAGAGGTCCTACCACCAGTAATTACGCAAATTATAATTCAACTATTCAACCGATTATCATGAAATTTTGCACACATGTTGTGTTGTGAGAGGTACTGCAGGAATCTTAGTGAAGTCGCGCGGTAAAACTATTACTAACAAACAAAAATTTGCTACCTATTATGAGTACTTTGTGTGCTCCAAAGGCTTTAGCTGTGAGCATGGTAAGGAGACCGATGGGTCCCGCTCCCAGTACCAGCACAACGTGTCCCGCCGAGACTCCGCCCCTCTTGCACGCGTGAATGCCCACCGCGAGGGGCTCCAGTAGCGCTCCTTCTTCCATGGTCACGTGATCAGGAAGCCTGCGAATGAAGTCGGTTGTCAAGCCTACGCTTACAAATGAGCAAACAATTTAAATAATGTTATGTTTGTAATAAATGTTAGTGTGTCACTATCACTTGTCTCCATACGCGCTAACACAACATTAAATAGATATTATAATTGCGGTCCAATATATTATTTTTGAGCATATGTTTACGATTTTTATATTTTATTTTTAGCACTTATGACCACATTTTCTCTGTTCGTTAAAATCAAACTTACATATTACATATTGAGTTATCCGTTATCGGTGGGATGGCGTAAGTGGGCCCGCATGGATGGGTAACCATTTAACACCAGATGTACCATGAGCTACCCTACTTTACCTATCTGTTACCCTATCTGTACATAAAAAATAAGACCGTGTGAGCAAGCGTTTGCAATGATTCAAAAATAATAAATGTCTCTTAGGCGAGGCACTTGTGAAGGTAGAGTCGGACTGCATATACTTAGTCTGGCCATAAATACTGTTATAAAAATAAACAAAATATTACATTTGAATTTGGAATTGTTATTTTTAAATGATTGCTCATTGAGCTTTCTCATTTTGGCGCCAATATATTGTACAATATTTTGCGATATTAAAATGGAGTGGGGTGATAAAGAGAACCAAATCGCTGTGATTGCATTACACAAAGTAGGTATGGAGCCAAATGCAATTTTTAAAACTCTCCATACGCTTGGTATTAGTAAAATGTTTGTGTACCGGGCTATTAATAGGTGCAATGAGACCTCCTCTGTTTGTGACAGAAAAGATCTGGCCGTCCACGTAGTGTTCGACGAAAAGGTGGTCAAAGCAGTAAGGGAAAGAATTCGAAGAAATCCTGTCCGAAAGCAAATGATTTTATCTCGGGAGATGAAGATAGCACCTAGAACCTCCGAAAGCAAATGATTTTATCTCGGGAGATGAAGATAGCACCTAGAACCATGTCGCGTATTTTAAAAGATGACTTAGGACTTGCAGCCTTTAAGAGACGTACTGGTCATTTCTTATAATAATTTAAAAGAGAATAGGGTGGTAAAATTGAAACAACTACTGAAGCGGTACGCAAAGGGAGGTCATAGAAAAAATTTTTTTACGGATGAGAAAATTTTTACAATTGAGCAACATTTTAACAAACAAAATGACCGTGTTTATGCTCAAAGCTCTAAGGAAGCTTCCCAATTAGTCGACAGAGTGCAACGTGGGCACTATCCGACTTCAGTGATGGTTTGGTGGGGTATTAGCTATGAAGGAGTGACTGGGCCATACTTTTGTGAAAAAGGTATCAAAACATCGGCACAAGTGTATCAAGATACTAAAGCTCGCTCTACACAGTCTTGGTTGGAAACGAACGTTTCGGACTTCATCAGAGCTGAAGACTGGCCGTCGTCTAGTCCCGATCTTAATCCGCGGGATTATGATTTATGGTCGGTTTTAGAGACTACGGCTTGCTCTAAACGCTATAATAATTTGGAGTCCCTAAAACAATCCGTACGATTGGCAGTGAAAAATTTTCCCATGGAAAGAGTGCGTGATAAGATTTTTATACTTTAAATTGTTTTATATTTATGTATTAAATTAACACACTGTAAAAGTAATAAATGTTATTTGCCATAGAATTTTTTTTGTTTTCCTTTGTAACAGTATTTATGGCCAGACTAAGTAGGTAGGTACTACATAGAAATTCGTTCGTTTGGTTTGAAAGAGAAAATAGATTTTAATGCCTTCATATTGTGGTAAACGTAAAATGTCAATATTTATTGTCCAATCTTTGTTCTCACGGGAACTTTTAAAACGCGATTCCTTGCGAGTACTTACTTGAAGCAAAAATCGGCCGCGTGCTTGTAATATCTGACAAGGTTTCCGTCTGCCGGGGGTGTGGCGCAGAAGATCATGTCGGGACATAGGTGGTATCGTCCTGTCTTACAGAACTCGCAGTACCGACACGGCACGCCGGGCTCTATGGCCATTCGATCACCAACTGTCAGATTCTTGACTTTCGAACCGATCTGCAACAGAATTTACCCAAGTGTGAAGTTCCTTTTGTTGTTCAGATGCTTAAATCCATCTGCTGTTAAGGGATTATTGAGGCATTAAGCTGTTCCACCCTCCAAACCTAAATGTATGACTACTTTGCGGTAGAAATAAGCACGGTGGTGGTACCCACGCGTGCGGTCTTACAATATGGTACCTTTACTAATTAGCCAAGCTTATTTGTTTTCTTCCATGATGCTATGTCCTCATCAGGGAAGTAGTTCAAGAGCGCGTATTAAATAAGTATTTACTCCGACACGCTCTTGTGACTTCGGAACCGGAAATCTTATTTTTGTAGCCACGATAGCCTCTATTTAATCTAGTCAGTATGTATTCTAAAGAAAAATGAAAAGCTTTGAAAAGATTAACAAGTATCTTCTTTTTTTTACCCCCGCACGCTGTTAAGAGCATTAAAGTTATAAAATAAAACACTTACATTTAATTACAAATATACAGAGCATGCACTTATCAATGTATTATCAGTTGGAACATCCGTTATACAAGTGAAGAACTACGTTTCTCAAAGTTGGGTAGCGAGTCGTGTTGCTTCCGGGCCCCGATTACTGCTTATTACCAGTTGGACCGTGAACAATACATAACTCAAGACTTTGCGTTAAGGTTAGGACTGGAGCGAAGAAAGTGTGATTTCGATAGGTGCCAAGCCTATTAAAGATCTGGGACTAACTACCTCTACTATAAAGCTTCGTCAGTGCAACAGCCCCATCTTAACACAGATGCAGTCATAGTGAGAAAAAATAGCCGAAATTTTACCAACTATGTCTCTCTTAGATGATGTAGAAGAGAGCTACAACTAGGAGTGGGTGATATAAATCGTATATAGATTCAATATCTATATATCGCAGCAATATCGTTGAATCCGATATCGCCCCGCACGAAATCTATATATCGATATCAGCCGATACACGATATTGCTCGATGTGATGCGCATCGGCATATCGGACCGATTCGTGAATCGAAATCTATATTTCGATATCAGCCGATACACGATATTGCTCGATNTGACCCAGCGGGGTATTCCGAGGGTAGACCATTCTAACCGGCGCCATCTAGGCGGGCTTCGGATAGCCTGCCGACCGAGAGGACTGGTGGTCGTGGCGCCGACGACCGCCAGTCCGGCGTCCCGAGGGGGAGGGTGATGGGAGAGATGTGCTCCGCACTAAACGCTTCACTTTCCCCCCTTTGCCTTTTCATGAGTTCTTTAAATCGGTCTAGAAAAGCACCAGTGCGTCTCCTCCCGTGGGTATCGTAAAAGGCGATTAAGAGATTCATTGGAGCTACATTCTCTGTGTATCACGTTAGCACACTGCGATGCTCAAATAGCATTTACTGGTATTAGGACGTGTTGTGAGCTCGCACAAGGCGGTACCACCATACTGCCCATTGCTGAAGCAAATGATCATATTATATCATGTCACACGATCCTGCCTGAAGACCGGGACGTTATAGAATGCAACTAATATTTCTACGCTGTGAGGTCTATGGGCTTGGATAACTGTGCAGTGTGTAAGATGGGCTGTACGTTAGTTCATCCATCTAGGCAATAACAAATAAAACAATAATTACACGTATATAACACGTATATAATATAAATAACAAAAACGTAAAAACGTTAAATACAAAAGGTTTTTTTTCGATCAAAACGACTTGCGGCTGTTGAGGATGGCGGTATGATTTAAGGATTACTGGTGGCCCGGAAGTCTTTTTAGATTCACCAGGTTAGGTGGGCCACTACGGGCTCAGTCAGGAGCGCCTCCAAAGGAGACGTAGAAATTCCAGAGCAGTTGCTTCGCCAATTAAATGCACGTTGTGGGTTGCGACGAGGCAAGTAACCTCTAAGAAAATACTAGGAAAAGTTGACATTCTATATTATTTCTTACAGCTAATTAAATAGACACTTACGAAATTCTGTTCGACTTTAGTTATGATTATAGATATTATAGAAATTTATACATTGTATTTCTATGGACAGGTGAAGGCAGGATTTTCATTTATTCCTAATCTATAAAAAATATAGGATCGTTTTGAAGAATTTTGCTGCAAAATACCCTAACTTCAAAATCCCTTGATTATCACGTTTCTTTAAGGTATTTAAACGAATGATCTGTTTTTTAACATTTTTTTATTAACATACAAAAAATAAATAAAATGTAAATTATAAATTCACGATTTCTGCTAGAAAACTTAAGAATTGACTGGTGATAGGTAGTTATTACATATACGAATAAATTTCTTTCAAAAAAAATCAGAAATATAAATTAAATGATTGAGTTACTGAGGAGGTCAACGCCCTTGTGTGACGCGGGGGGCGACTTCCAGTAGCCTTCACAACAGTTTCAGAATAACAAATTATAAAAACATTTTTTAGCAATGGCTGTTGTTTAAATGTCAGCGTATCAGTATATATAATATTATATAGGTTTTGGGAACGCGCGTACCCTGTGTAAATTACATTACTTAGAAATTTATATACATCTAAAAAACATCAATAAACAGTTACAATTAAAAATTATCATCATAATATTTACACACGAAAAGTAAATTCGTTACAATATGGCACAAAAATTAACGATAGCCCAAGGTTCATCGTCATCTGACTTTAAATTTCAGGATTATTATCCTGAAATTTAAGGATAAAGATGACTATTATGTTATTAATTTCTAAAGTAAAATATTTCTTTATTCTTTCATATAATAGAGATGAATTGTCATCTTTATTATTTCTAAAAATAGAGATGACAATTGTTGTACATATCGGGATGTCCATATTGATTACCCTTTGAAAAATTGCTACAGAACACTATATTGACTGGTGAAAAGCCATTTGGTTAAAGCGACTTTTTGCAGTTTTACAAAAGAGCCATTTAAAGCTTAAAATTTTAGAAAAAATATAATAACAAAAAAAAAACTTCAACTATTTAAATGTAGTAAGCTTAATTGAAGTTCAATCAAAAACATAGAATTGGTGATGTTAATACCAAATAAAACGCACTTTTAATCACAAAGATAAATGTGGCGTATTAAGCGAAATACAGCTTAAACCAAAGCCTTTCAGCCCTCGATATGACACCTACTGAAATCTGCATACTCTTTTTAGAATAATTTCGTTGCAATAGTTCAGAACTTTTGTGGGTTGTTCGTGTCTCGCGGCTGGACGTGGATCATGACCTTGATGCCGGCCCCCTGGCGCGCCACTTCGTACGCCTCCAGGCTCTCCTCGATGCTGAAGTGGTGTGTGACCAGCGGCTTCACGTTTATTTTCCCACTCGCTACCATCGCTAGTGCAGTGGGGTAGCTGAAGATTTAACAATATGTTTTTTAAGTGAAACTTATTTAGGCGCGTCGAGAGTAAATTTTAACTTGCATCTGTCGCGACGTTACGGCTAGAGAGAAAATATACAATTTAGGACGAGCGAGTGTAAGAAAATAAATAAAGCCTCTCGCAAACCACTAGACCTTGGAGAGAGGGAGAAAGCGAGCTAGGTCGTTTCTCTTAGACATATTCTGTTTACGGGCGTCGGGCACTAGATGGCTTGTTATTAGTTTTAATTGCTCCTGTAGATGGCAGTAACATATTAACTAGATATCTTATATTTTATTTTTAATGAAGGATTTAAAAAAAATCGGTGTATAATTTAAAATATACATATGTGAAGGGTCATTTTTCTTATACACAGCATTCCCAATTACAAGAGAAATTTGATTTAAGGATGAAAAATGAAGAAAATCATTATGGCGATTTACTGGTGCTGACATCCTGCCTGTGTGTGGTGCCACATATGTACTTACTCGTTAACGTATCGGAAGATGCCCCGGATGTCGACCTCCCGCGAGAGGGCGCCCGCGAGCGGCACGGTCTGCTCGGGCGCTCCCATGCCGACCAGCACCGCCACGCCGCCAGACTTCGTGGCCTAGCGAACAGTAAACATTGGTTATTAGTTATTAGTTAAACCAGAACATATTATAGAAGTCGTCGTGTCCTAAGGATAAGACGTCCGGTGCATTTGTATCTAGCGATGCACTGGTGTTCGAATCCCATTAGCAAGTGCAAATTTTTCTTATGAAATATATCACGTACTTAACAAATGTTCACGATTGACTTCCACGGTGAAGAAATAATCGTAAATTATATCGTGTAATAAAAATCAAACCCGCAAAATTATAATTTGCGTAATTACTGGTGGTCGTCTTGTGAGTCCGCACGGGTAGATACCACCGCCCTGCCTATTTCTGCCGTGGGGCATATTAACGATATGACGGTGGTGACGATATTTTCGTCAGCATAACTGTGCATGATTTGTTCCCAGTTATTTATTATGAATATTTTAAGTAATAATGATATAATTAATTAATAGCTTAAAATTAACAAATATTTTACTAACCAGCAATGCTAATCTGATGGTGGTCTGGGCCCCACTCACGTCGAACGACACGTCAGGATGTCCCTCCAGTAGCGCATGAATCTTCCTCACCAGCTCAGCCTCGTTCGAGTCCTTGCCTATGAGAAGTGTGTAGTCGGCGCCTAACGACTTGGCGAAATCCAAACGGCTCTGAAGAATATCTGGAATGAAAACGATTTCAAAGGTAACGTAACTGCAACAATGTCATAAAAAAATGATGAAAAAGCAGTATTCTATTTTGACATTCTTAAAGGTTACACGTTTCGCTAAATGACAGGTCTTTATTGTCCGTACTTTGTGTTTGGATGGATGTTTATTTAATTTAAACTAGTGGTCCCGCACATAGATTATACCGCAGTAGTCGAAATTCGACTATAATTAATTGAAATTATAAGTTTGAACGTTATTATGGTTCTAGTGTCAAAGACTATTATACTTCTATAATATAATCACAGATCTCGCCAAGACTACACTATAGACAAATAAAAAATATTAACCTATTCTCAATTAGATCACAGACTAACAGAGCAACAAAAGTTTGACAATAAACATAGAGTATTCAT